GGGGGGGGGGAGGGTTTGACGAAGAGATTGCTGTGTGAGCGAATTAGTGGGAGGGTGAAAGGTTGTTATGTTCGAGTCGGTGTTTATATTTAGATGAATGTTTAGTACCGACAGGTTAGGGGTGTGTAGGCGTGTAGCTATCACGTGTAGGGATACAGTGAAGTTTTATAGATAAAAAAAAAAGGGTGTTCACATAAAAGAGTTAATAAAGTTAACGAAACAACTGTAAGTGTTAATTTGGTGATAATACAATGAAAACAAAAGGAGTACGGGTCATTGGGGTCATTTGTACGTTGTGGACCAAAGTACCTTACGTATATGATAATAGTAATATAGTAACAAATGATAGCTTTACAATGTTTGTAAGCTTTATAAATTAAACAATATACAAAAGCAACAATAGGTAAATGAAATGCCAAATGATAAATGATGCGACACAAAGTGGGGACATGGGGGTTGGGGGGTGGAGGTTATTTTTTTTTTTAAAGTTTTTTATATAGTTTATTTTCTACTTTATCCAATGACTTCATTAAGTATGACTTGACTAAGTGTTTATAAATACACGGACTAAAAATCTTGAGCGACCAGGATACGAACCTGGGTTGTCGCGGCCACAACGCGAAGTACTAACCACTATACGATCACGGCCAGCGCGCTCCCAGAAGAGAATTATATATATAGCTAGATATATAAAGCTCAATTCTGTATGTAAAAATAAGTTTGTCGTGAATACTTCCATGGATTTAAGTGTTAGATTATTATAGTGCTCAAGGTCTAAATTTATGAGTTAAAAAAATTAATACTGAAAGTGTTGGGAAATAATTTTCATTTTTCAAACTGATAGTAATAATTGTCGGCATGTTCATTAAACACAATTTCAAAAAAGAATCATATTTTACAAAAATTCTAATTATGTCTGAAAATTATTTATAGTTAGTCCTTTAGCACTTACTTCCCTTTGATAAATTAGGAAAACACAATTACTTCCCTTTATAAAACATTGCATTAGTGGAAAAGAATTTACTTTTTATTACTTTGTTTTGGTGTTGGGAAAAAAATAATTACATAATTAGCGGGGATTGATCAAGTGCAAATGTTGTAGGTATTTTTCGGATAAGCTTGGAGTATTATAATTGTTCATTTGGTTTGGTTTGGCACCTACGTTCGTTTAAATGAGTGCAAAAGACTATGAATAAGTTGGGGTACCATAGTCGTTTATTAAGCTGAAACAGGCGATTCTGCCCCGGGCTAGACTGTGAGCACTTTGCGTTTATGTTCGCGTTTGTGTTTTCTTTGTGTTTTGGTTGGGTTTGCGTTAGTGGTTGCGTTTTGATTTGGTTCGTTTTTGTTCTTTCTTTTTTCGTTTTCGTGTGTGTTTTTTTCTTTGGGTTTGTGTTTGTGTTTGTGTTTGTATTTGTGTTTGTGGTTGGTTTAGCCTTTGGATTTGGTTTGTTTTCGTTTGCTTTTTCGTTTGTGTTTTTTTTCTTTGGGTTTGTGTTTGTGTTTGTGGTTGGTTTTGCGTTTGGATTTGGTTTGTTTTCGTTTGCTTTTTCGTTTGTTTTTTTCATTGTGTTCGTATTGGTGTTTGTGGTTGTGGTTGGGTTTGTTGTTAGGTTTTTGTTTTCGTTTGCTTTTTTGTTTGTTTTTTCTTTGTGTTTGTATTGGTGTTTGTGGTTGTGATTGGGTTTGTTGTTAGGTTTTTGTTTTCGTTTGTATTTGTAATTGTGTTAGCGTTATGTTTGCGTTTTGTTGTTTTGGTTTTGGTTGGTTGTGGTTTGGGTGGGCAGTGCCGGGTTTATGATGATTACTAAACACACAGGTAATGGTCTTTAACAGAAAGATTTTTCACAGAAGCCAGAGCAGGGCCTGGCCGGGACGGCTAGTATTAGTCTATATTACAAAAGTCTTAACATGAAGAATATATGCTGGTAACACGGCAAATGAGTTTCATTAGAACAAATAGTATTAGTTATTGATCTTAATGACCATTTACAGGTTCTAGTGCTCGATGTATTTTAAGGGGTGTAGCTTCAGAAGTGCAGTAGCCTAGTTCTTAATAACCAGCTTTGATATATATATATATATATATATATATATATATATATATATATATATATATATATATATATATATATATATATATATATATATATATATATATATATATATATTTATTTATTTATTTATTTATTGATAAATAGGCTATATAAATTTAAAAGGATGGAAGTTTACTTATACAAGTGTACACATATTTAACAAATGATCAAATGATTAAATAAATTAACATTTATCTATGAAATTCAAAACTTAATGACATTGCAAATAGTAAATACGCTAATGAGCTTCAGTTCAGATAGACCAAGTAAACACGAGTCTGCTATTAAGAAACGTTAAAAACCTCAACAAATATATCAACTGAAGGCTCTGGAAACAAAAGTCTGAGAGAAATGTAAGTACAGATAAGGTAGAAACAGATTATGCAAATTTTATTCCTTTATTGTTGTAGTTGTGTACACAACGTAACTTCCGATTGATTAAAACGTTTACTTAATTGTGCATTTTAGAACAATGATTTACTAGAAATTAAAGAAATCGCAAGAAAACCACTTTTTAGATTAGACACATTAATTAGGCGGTAATTTTTTTATAGAGTATCGATGAAGAAATTTCTTTTGAGTTGGGGAGTGAAGGGGGGGGGGGGGGGGGGGCTCAGACGTTCTTACGCGGGGGTGGGGCTTCGCCCCTACCCGAAGAATTGTATGAAAAAAACTCTTCACGCAAACCACTTAGATTAGACAAAATTGCCTTTTTATTCAATGTTTACTCGAGAATCAATGACGTCATATTACTGTGTGCACTCTCCGGCTTGAGATTATTTTTTACTATATGCTAAATGTGACGTTATATTTCGTTTTCGTTTCACTGTGAACGTTTTTAAATTGCTTGTGTTTTCTCTAGAGCGTTCTTGTCAGATAGATAGATAGATAGATAGACAGACAGACAGACAGACAGACAGACAGACAGACAGACAGACAGACAGACAGACAGACAGACAGACAGACAGACAGACAGACAGACAGACAGACAGACAGACAGACAGACAGACAGACAGACAGACAGATAGATAGATAGATAGATAGATTGATTGATTGATTGATTGATTGATTAGATAGACAGATACATAGACAGACAGCGAAACTATTATTATAGATTATTCGTCTAGGTTTTCCCTTTTTTATTTCGTGATAGAGTTTTTTTAATTTTTTAAATAACAATTAAAATATGTCATTACATAGTAAATTTACTGTAAAATGTTTCTGTAATTTCAAAATATAATGTAAAATGGATAGTATGCCTCACGATTTTAGAGATTACTCGAAATTAAGTCTTTTAAGTTAGTATGCAAGATGACCAATAGGATTTAATAATGTTTATAAATCACACGGCCTTTTTAAAATTAGTTTTTAGCCATTTCAGCAATTCACATTAACAGGTAATGTATTTTAGAGTTATTGGCCATTGTATTAATTCAAAACAGTAGTTAACTAATGACCGTTATAACTACTGATATTTGAAAGCAGCAGTTAACTTCTCTAGAAATGTACACGCCTCCCAGTTAGTATCAGTTAACTCAGTGGCGTAGCGTGGTCGGGTGTCACCCGGTGCGGTACTTAATGGTGTCACCCCCTTCCCCTCACAGAGGCGTAGCGACCCTTCCCGGGGACAAATTTTCAAATTTTCGATTTGTACCACCCCCCCCCCCCTCAAACTTTGGATTTGCACCCCCCTCAAACTTTCGATTTGCACCCCCCCACCTCAAGTTTTTCTCTATAAATGGTGTCACCTGGTGCGGTCCGCGCCCCCCACCCACCCCCCCCTCCTCGCTACGCCTCTGAGTTAACTTATTCTATAGAAAAGAATGGGCCACACAGCTAGTAACAGTAAACTTATTTTATAGAAACGTAAGCTCTGTCCATCGGCCCAGCTAGTAACCGTTAACTGATTCTATAGAAACGTACCCACCTATCCACCACCCCACATCCACCCACACACTTGAGCTGCTATAAGGCCCTAGCTCTCACTAAAATACATATTGTCTATAACCCCAGTCAGCAGCGGTCTACTCAGTGATGCCTACTGACACACCATTCACTTGAACTACTCGCATTTTCTTTGATTATATCCGCTCAAGTATAAACCCTTTAAGCTCTGTTTGATTGTTCAAAATAATTTCCCTGATAAGATGTCAAGAGTTTTGATGCTTAACTAATTCTGAATACCTCGGCATAAAGAATTTCTACGTGGGACGGCGCGTCCAAGTGGTAGAATATACGGTTGCTAAAGTGCTAGTGAACAGTTAATTTTCCTGGATCTAGATGGAAGTGTGTCCTTCGGGGTTCCACCCAATTTCAATGAGTTGATTACTTAACCCTGTGTTTAATGGAGGCTAGGCAAAATGCTTATTAAAACACAGTTTATCTAACCATGTGAAATAGATGTATTCTATACCTTTTTAGGTGGTCGAACCTGTATGGTTATTGACTGGCGAAATAATAAGCGTCAGCTGCAACTTACCTTAGTTAGACAGGCGTATCACTACTAGGCAGTTGTATTACAGGTAGACATGTGTGTAATATCTAGACAGTTGTATTACAGGTAGACAGGTGTATTATAACAAGACAGTTGTATCAGCTATAACAGTAGACAGGTGTGTCAGTTCTATACATGTGAATGACAGCTAGACATGTGTGCTAGAGGTAGACAGGTGTGTCATATCTAGAAAGGTGTGTCACATCTAGGCAGTTGTATTATAGATAGACAGTTGTATTACAGGTACACGGTGTACCACGGCTAGACAATTGAAAATAGGCAGGTAGACAGGTGCACCATAAGCAAACAAGCGTAAATTAGGTAGGTAGGTGAAGCTTAGTAGCATAGGTGTAACACTGGCAGAAAGTTAAACCACACGTAGAGAGGTTGAAAAAGAATTATCTGCTTACCTGAAGTTTTCCTAGAACTGTGGTTATGTTTTCTGCTGACAACCGTATCTTGGGGAACAGGGCTGCCGTCTCCCCTGCGACATTCCCATTCCGTGCGGTCGCAAAGCTCGTCGTCCAGTTCTTGTCGTTTTGCCCTTTTCAGTGCCCTAAGCTCGTCGTCCGTGATTCCTCGATTCCTGATTTGGTCCTCATTTCTCTTTTTTCTGTTTAAAGATCCGTGGTCTCCGGTATCCGCGGGCTCTAGGACCAAACGGAACTTTTGATTTTTCGAATTACATCCGCAATCAGAATTACTGTGGGAGTCGTTTGATTCTGGCTCGCATTGACAGTAGTTTCTGAGGAACGCGTCAGTAAGCTCGTCGTCTGCATCCCTGAACTCATCAGCCTTGGTCTTTTTTGACTTTAATGACCTGTTAGTAATATCTCTGAGAGTGCGACGGACATCAGCGGGCAATGCTGCTACGCAGTTTTTTCTAGGAACATCCATGAGAAGTTGGTCCACCATTGGTTCCCCACGCACTGGCGAGACATCATTAAGGTAATCTCTCTCCATCCCTAGTTCGTTGTCAACTTCATTATCGCGCTGCAAAACCAGCTTAATCGGAGTATTCTCGTGCTCGAAAAGCTCATCATAGTCTTCTTTTGAGATGTCGATATATTTAATTGGTTTCTGGTTCGGATTGTCAACTACGATATATGTCTCCTCTGGGCAGGATAATACCAAGTCGGCATTTCGGTGGAGGCCCCCATTGGAGGCTGAAGACGTTCTCCTGGAGTTACGCACGAGCTGAGTGTGAACCGAATCATTTAAAATCGTTGGTCGCCGAGGTGCGTTCGTCGGCGACATGGTGTAAACGCCCACGTTTTCATAGGCTTCATCGTTATCTACCAGAAGTATTTTTCTATCAGCGTTAGCCGAGGGGCTGGTGTAGTTGTCTATGCTCTGAACAACATAAGAATTGTCCAAAAGTGTGTGCCTTAAATTATTATCAACACGGTTTGTCGTTCTTAATATCTCTGTTGCGGGGCTGGTCGCGCTGTCCATTTTCTGAACGCCGTTGAAAGCATCCCCCTGTGCCGGCCACATTTCCTTTAATGCTTTTGCAAGGCTTCGTATGTGTTCAGCTTCATATTGATCATCTTCACATTGATCATCTACATCTATTTGTGTTCGTCCGGCGCTTCTTGGGGACGACCCGGCATTATAGATCCCCTCTGCGACAGGCGAAGAATCGACGTACTGAGGTGGATTTCGTTTTAGTTTTTGAACCGGTGCAAAGCTGCCTACTTCTTGTGCGTCGGTTGAAACATCATTTTCCCATTTACGATTTATCGGAGGCGTTTTTTGGTACCTATAATCGTCTTGGTTATCTAGCAAAACATCATCCTCGGGATTTTGCTGAAACCCGACTGGTGATGTCGCGGTGAAATCGCCAGATTTTTCTGGGTTATTAGCACATGAAGAAGGAATATTAACACATCTATACGCCCCGCGGCCATCCACAAATTGGATGCGTTTGCAAGGGGTGAGTTTAGGTTTGGTAAGAATGCCACGGATGTGGTTCTTGACTGACAAGTCAACGCGTCCAGCTTGCTTGCTTTTGATTGATGGGTTCTGGGTAAAGTTGTCATCATCATCATCATCATCATCACTGTCCTCCTTAATGTTGCCAAACGTAATTTTTGTTTCGATGACGTTAGTAACCAATGAACAGCTGCTGTCATCTTGAGGATCTGTCGCAAACTCGTCGTAAGGAGGTTTTTTAGATTTTCTCTTAGAAACCTCCTCGACTGGAACTTGATGAGAAACCATTCTTTTTGATTTCTTATTTGGATGCCTTACGCCGCTACCCTCCTCAGTTTCATTGTAAGCTACATCTTTATTTATGTCGGGTTTTGTTATACATTCTCTTCTTTTTAAATCATCATCAAACTCTTCGCAATAGTCGTCGCCATCATCAAACATCCGGAGGTTCGTTCTCCTACAGGTCAATATCGGCTTGTACCTGCTCTCCAGCACTTTGAAGTTATATTTGTTTGAGAGTTCTTTCAGCGAGTCTTCACTCGTCGTATATGCATCATCATCTGAATAACCATCACCGTAATCCCCTGACCTTTGACTGTAGAATCTTCGTCGTCTCTCCAGATTTCTCCTTCTTTCAATTACTTCACGGAAATCGTCCAAGACGTTGGCGCCAAAATCAGCGGTACTAACATCACGTTTTTCTCGAGATTCCACCACGTCTAACGAAACGTTGCAGCTAAAATCTTGTAACGTTTTTTTGACGATAACATCCTCAAAATCATCTTCAACGGATCCATTGAATTCTACTCCAGTTTTCTCATCGGTCTGAACTTCTTGTGTATTTAGCTCCTTTAGTGATTGCGTCGCACTTATCCGTTTATTACTTTGTAACCTCTGAACCTTTTGAGCTTCTGAAGCGTCAGAAGGCCATGTACCCCAAATATAATTTTTTACATGTCCTTCCATTTCAGTATAGTCAGTCTGAACTTCTTGGGTATTCCAACTGGGCTCCAGTGACTGAGCACTTGTCATCTTATCGCATCGCAACACCTCTGGAGGTTCGGAAGCTATGGCAAAGAATCTTTCCAAAGCATATTTTTTTAAGTATTCGTCTAGTTCATCGGCATCCACTACGATGTTAACTTCTGTGGGTTTTTCGGAGACGCAAATCTCTTCGACCGGAGTCTTTTCACTTTCAAAAACGTTTTCACTCTCCGGTTCAGTTTCCGACACATCGTTTTTCTTATCTTCATCGGAACCCATACTGTCGTCAGCGAAGTAGGCGTCGTCGAATTCGTAGCCGCCTATAACGATTGGAGCTTCTGTCCCATAGGTATCGAGCTTTTGATTCAATTTAGCTTTTCGATTGAGTGTTCTTGTCATTCTGATCTTCAACTCCTTCACTTCAACAGGTGTTAAAATTTCATCTTCCGCCACGTTGTCTGTTTCTTCCTCTTTGGCCTCCTCCTCATTCCCTTTCTTTTTTTCGTCCACCTTCTTCTTGTTCTTTTTCGCCATGTTTTGATCTCACACTGTGGTCGGATGGAGTCGATTCAGTGTTAGCTATGATACGTGCTTCCTGGTGTAGATTGTGAAACTGTAAATTACTAAGATATTTCAACAAAGATTAGAGGGCGTGGGCATATTATATCAAAACAAAATGACCCAACCCCATTAGTTATGTATAACTTTTTATTATAGATCTCACACCATTTAAAATATATAGGCTTATCTCTCCCCTAAAAATTTAAGTTTGAAAAGGGCCTTGGACAGTACGCTCTTGTAAATAACCGCCATGTTTTTACCCGTTTTTGTTTTTTGCAAATACCTACTCTAACTGTCAATAGGAAAAAAATTAGTATTTTATAAAATCTCTAGCACTTTATAGATAAAATGAAGTCGGCTGGCTGTGAAAAAATAAATTGTATTTCGTAAATAAAAAAACAACTTTATTAGACTGATTTTGTAATTTCCCATGATTGCTAATCAATATAGTCATGTCATGTCTAAATCTAAAATGAGCTGATTATCTTGTTATTCCCACTATTGCCAAACGCCCAGTCATTTCAAAGGCGTAGCGACCTCTCCCGGCCCAGGGTGAACATTCAAGGTGGCGCCCCCACCCTCATATATATATATATATATATATACACACACACATATATATATATATATATATATATATATATATATATATATATATATATATATATATATATATACATATATACATATATGTATATATATATATATATATATATATATATATATATATATATATATATATATATATATATATATATATATATATATATATATGTATATAAATACGTGTGTGTATGTGTGTGTTACGGTCCGGAACAGGTTTAACAATTACGGTGTATGATTTTCGATCCCTAAAATTTAACACGACGCCAATCAAAGTCCCCTTAAGATGCGTTATTCTTTTAATAAACCGGGAGTGATCTCCCCTAAACTTTCTCGAATATTCTAATATAACACTACGGGGGATGGCAACTCGGGACATAGACAATATTTTTAATCCATTTTTAAGGGCAGTTTAAACCCCCCCCCCCTCCCCCCCAAAAAAAAATACATATTTAAGTCAGAAATGTTGATTTTTGAAAATCTATTGTTTCTGAAACTACATTCAATTCTGAACATTTTTGTATAATCATTTTGCAAAATTTCGTATTGCTAGTATTTTTTAACAAATTTTAATTAATGAGACTAATGACGTAATTCACCTATATTAAGCAACGTTTAGCAACATAAAATTAAAAACTAACTAAAATAGATGTTCTTATTGCTGAGTAAGAGGCTCCAGGTGCAATTTATGTAACTGGGAGGTTTTAAAAATGACTTATTTGGTATAGTTTTCGCTTTTTCTCGTTTTTTTCAAATTTAGTATATTTTTCACTATTTAGCGTTTTTCTCAAAATGTTACTTTTCAACAAAATTGTACCAGTTAAATCACTATAACTCAAAAACTACTTGCGATATTTAGCTGAAATTTTGCACACATGTTTACTAAACACTGCTTGTAAAGTTGAACTAAAAGAATTTCTATATCTTTGAAACTTCTCATTTTATAAAAAAAAAAGCTAAGTCTACTCCCTACTTTTTGGAAAAATTTTAGGTCTCACTTTTTAAAAAATTGGTTAAAATCCATTTTTTATTATTTTCTAATTGTTTTAATTCATCTTTTTTGTAATTGCGTATATTACGCTATATTAAAGATTTGTGTTATTCTGACAAACAGAAGCTGTGTTATTTTGATTTCAATGAGAGCCAATTTTGAGCTATTTTACCCTAAAAATGACACTTTTTAGAAAATATTTTCTCAAAACCATAACTTTTTAGTGATTTTTTTTTTGCATTTTTTTCATATACTATGCTAGTTACAACTTCCTTATCACTCAAAAAAGTCCTAACACCTAAATTTCAATTTGGGGGTTTAACCTGCCCTTAATTACTTAAACTTTTTATAATAGAATAGAATCTCGTAAAAAAAAAAACAATTGCACACCAAGTGAACGCAAAATAAAATGTGCATAATAGTGCGGGATATCATTAGAACTTTATAAATTCTTTTTGAGAATCGGAAATAGCGTAAATCACTACTTCCGGTCAACGGAAATTACTCAAAACTTGATAGAATGCAGAGAATTAGATCTTTAACTTACATGTGAAATTTCATTTATCTATCTGAAATAGTACTCAAGTTATAGGCTTTTGAAAAATTCAAACTAGAAAAAGTTCCACTTCCCGTTATCGGAAATCGCTCAAAAGTTTATACGAATCTACGATTTTGATATAATATTTATATATGAAATTTCATAAACCTAGCTCAACCGGTACTCAAGTTATCCTGTTTACACACACACACAGACACAGGGACAGAATTGGATAATCCAGTTTTTCCAACTCCATTACGCATAAAACGCCAAAATTTTGATAAATCTGGATTTATATTTTTTGCCCGATTAAAATAAGTCCTCTATATCCCGGATGTGATGAAGGACTGAGGAGTAAACCGGTAAAACCTGTCACAATTTCATGTGATTTTTGTGCACGATTACAATACTTTCCCTATACTCTGTATACGAGAAAGTAAAAATGATTAATATTGTCAGAAAAAAATAAACCTGATCTGAGTTTTTAGTAGGCGCTAATTTGTTTAGGTCAGTCTTTTATGTTCTATCTTTGGATACTAAGCTTGTTAGAATTAAGTCAAATAAGTAATACACAATAGCAAAGTATCAGAAACATGTATTGTGCACATTGGAATACGACATGGGTATTCCGTTGACTGGTTGATTGTATAATGAAACAAGCTAGAGGAAACAAAGTGGAATCCAACGGACTTAACAGTTCAAAGTCTTGGATCTAGCAGATGTGTACTGCCTTCTCGCACATATAGTCTACAACAAATGCAGATTTAATTGTACTAGTTGAAGAAGCAGTAATAACCCGTTTAATATGGCACTGCCTATGACGTACAGATTAGAATAGAGTCAACAGCGACGAAATACTTTTTAACTTTCTAGACCAATGCGGAATTCATACACATTGTCATTGTCAACAATGTCAAAAAAAAAAATTCATTCAGGATCTATAGCTAGATGTGAAGTCTCACTGTGTGGCTCGGAGCTGGGTGGTTACGGACAGTGGAGAATGAAATAAGAGAAACAAAAAGGTGGTAGTTAGGGCTCAATATCAGAAAGACAGTAAATAAATAATATCACTAAGCAGTTGCTGGTGTGAAGTCCACGGGGAAAGAGGAAGAGGGGGAGACCAAAAAAAGGCATGATGGAAAGCGTTTGAAATAGAGATGGGGGAGGCTGTATTAACAGGGATCTATCTTAAAGAAAATCAAGTGAGTTGACGAAGTGTTACCTTTGCTCATGCTCCTTAGGAAGCCGAAACGAATCTAATGAAGATAATCTCAACCTGGGTTCGATCGAACCCAAAAGGTTCGGTGAGTCAGTCTCAAGGGTTCGACGGAAGTCAAGACACATACCCGAATCGTATTATTCAAGATCGGATTTTGATAGTGCGGACGATATAACTATTAAGAAGGATTCGGTAAATGCGAATATGAAACTGATGGGGTTCGGTACCTTAAAAAAGTTAAGAACCACTGCTTTAGAGGGTAGTTTGTAAAAGACGCAAGCGTATTTGGTCCACTTTAGATCATGTCTTTAGAACTATTTCGATACTAATATTACAGTTTTAAAGTATCAGGTTGAACAAAGTAACAAAGCAGTAGCAATCGTCGTAATTTACCAGTTTTACCTCGTTTAGTGGTCTAGTGGCCTTAACTATATGAAAATTGTAGTATTAGGAATTGTTAAGAAACAAGCAATTAAAAAATGATCTATTCGGTACAACATACTAATTTTCTAGTAAAAAGGTGTATTATGTAATTTTAAGTATAGAAAGCCGTGTTATATTTATCTACTCACCGTTCCGATCCGCGGGAATAGAAGAAACTTTGACGAAATGTATTAGAAAGATTTCACCAACGCGTTACCAATCATATGTTCTGAGACGCGTGACCTTCTTTTCTAAAAGTGAGTTATTTAAATGTAAACAATGCCTGCGCTTGGATCACAAATATCGGGACACGGGTTTACCTACACTACCGCATGAAAACCTTGAGTGTACATTAATCACTCACCGAAATAATATGGTAGAAGACACTTCGGTGACCGCCCATGTGTCAGAGACGTAGAGGGGCGCTCTCAGGAGCCCCCCCCCCCCCCCCCGATTACACTACCGCATAGGCGCGGCGTACGATCCCTGTCTCCTTAAAACTAACAGGCGCCATCGTGCCAAATAGCATCCTGCTAACAATGATGCAGATTGCATCATTCACTAAAGTGACACAAATGAACAGGATTTGTTATTTAACACGTAAAAAAAAATATTTGAAGTGTTTTAAACATCAGTGTGACTGATGCAATATGTTAGAGTTACTAATGGTCTTTTCTTAGATATTAGATGTTCGATCTCAATTTCTGATTGGATTATCTAAAAATAGATGCTAATTCAAATTGCATCATTCGCAAAGTGGCGAAACGGTTTGGATTTTTTTACGGACAAAAAGAAACATCCCAGTTAATAATCTAATCTTGGTTAATTTTTCTTATTATTAAAATAAAACGTATTACATGCCCTCAGCAGCCCATGTGAGCCTTAGGGACCAAAACATATTTTTATTTGCAGCCTAATTGCACCCTACCAGGGCGCCAGAGGACACGCCTGATTCAATTTAGTGAGCGCTTGTAACGCCCAATCCTATCCATTGTTTATCACACTGTTTAGACCGAACGTAGTCACCATAGCGCTCACGGGAAAGACCAGGGCGCAAAATCGCATCCTGCCGGGGGGCCGTCCATGCAAAATGTAATCCCCCCGCCCCCACCACCCACCCACCCTATTCCCCCCTCCCACCCCAGAAGCCTTCTCGGGAGTATTCATCAACTCACTAAAGTTTTATGGCGACGGGATAAATTGCGTCGAACCGCAATCGTCTTTTATTTTTATATACCGTATATTGAGAAAAATCCCACCATTCCATGGCGCCGCCCTTGCGAAATATTTTTTTTTTACAGCAACCTTCCCTGGAGTGTTCTAATCAACTCCCCAAAGAAAGTCTACCGCCCCCTCCCCCCGAACGAGATGGAATTTATATAGTAAACATACACTTTTACTAGTGTCCGCCCCCCCCCCCCCCGAAAATATCAAGTGAAGTATATACTTTTAACTGTGTTCCCCCCCCCCCACTCCCCGAAAATTTCAAGTGCCCCCTCGGAGAAAAAAGTCTGGAAGAAACACTGAATCAGTATTAACGGCTTGTAGCCGTTGAATTCCCAAACTTTAACTGTTTATAATTCAAAACTGCAGCTTAAACTGAGCTTTAATTTTTTTTCTACCACTTTTGGCACCCCCCCCCCCCCCGGATCAGCGTCAGGAGCGGCCGCCCCTCTCCCGTTTAGCTACGCCTCTGAGTCAGTTCGCGAACATCGCGAAATAAAGAACAAAAAAGATCAAACTTTGACAGGAAAATTCGCCTATTTAGGCCCGTTAAATATTTTTTGCATTTTCAGTAACTAGGTCTAAATACAAAAAAATTAAAAGCCTAAAACAATTTGTTTTCATTTTATCGCTTGACTTTACTTGAAATGTAGATTTAAGATTTTAAGTAAAAATTACACAAACAGGTTGGATTAAAACTCTAGAAATCTAGATCTAGATCTAGATGGCTTTAAACAAGTAGGCCTATAATTTTATTTATCGCAAAGTTTTGAGAGCAAATTAGAATCTAGTCTAGATCTAGAGTCTAGATCTAAATCCCTAGATCCAGTGGCGTAGCGAGGTCGGGTGTCACCCGGTGCGGCACTTAATGGTGTCACCCCCCAGAGGCGTTGCGACCCTTCCCGGGGACAAACTTTCATGTTTTCGATTTGCACCCCCCCCCCCTCAAACTTTCGATTTGCACCCCCCTCAAGTTTTTCTCTATATATTTTGCTATTTTTTGCCTTGGTGTCACCCCCCTAAATGGTGTCACCCGGTGCGGTCCGCACCCCCCGCCCCCCCCCCCCCCTCGCTACGCCCCTGCCTAGATCTACTAAAAAGTGGGGATTTCAAAATGTTTGTCGTATGAAAGTGAAACGCCTTGTTATAATTAACCGTAGCATTGATGAAAATAAATCTCTAGATCTAGAACTAATCTAGAATCGCACAATAACAAAAAAAAATAATAATAAACACACACACATTCTCTGCATTTGCTACTTTCATAACATAGATTCTAGATCTAGATATTTTCAGGCTTTTTATTTTTTAAAATTATTTTTACGGCCTATGTGAAGGCAAAATTAACTGAAACACGATTTTTATCTCTAGATCTAGATTCTAGACCTACACGGGATCTATGTTAATAATTGTTAACAATGTTTCATGTTTATCTTAGCTTAATAATTTTGTAATTGTAACAGTAAACTCGTTATTCCTCTAGGACTCTAGGACTTGGTCTAGCCAATTGTTTTTTTTTTTTTCGCCTGTCTTTTACATTATTTATTCAGTACTGTAAATTTCTAAGAAAAGGCTACCTTATTTGACATTGGTTACATTTCTAACTGCATATTGAAATCTCCAGGCTAGCTAAGATTTTACGTGATCTTCTAATCTAAGGCGAAGCGTCGAAGCGTATTGCTTCGCCATGATATACTATACTAACAACAGCAACTTCCGTTCAAATGAGACATTAGCCTAAAAATACAATTTAGTGCTAGAAATGTTTTTCCCGAGAAAGCAATACGCTTTAGATCTAGATTCTAGATCTAGATCTAGTAGTGAACAAATTGTTTGTAATGCATAGGCCTTGAACGTGCGATATAGGGAAAATGGCGACAGGACACATTATTTCAGGAAAAAAAGATCTCAGACAAAATAGCTCACAGCAAAATATTTATAGATCTAGACTCTAGATCTAGTATTTTTTATGCTTTTAGTCGATCGAACCGACCTCACAATCAGTGTTTCTGTCAGTTTTTTACATAAATTCCATTTCGTTCGGGGAAGGGCGGGGGGAACCACCCCCCGAAGAGATGCCTGGAAGAAACTCTGCTTACAATATCTGCCACCTCGGCTCTAGGGGTCAAAAGTGAGCGCAGGTGCTCACCACTTTATATAATCAGTACATTTAACAATGAAATCAGTAGATCTAAATCTACTTGAAAATACGTTGAAAAGAAAGAAGTCGACAACACACAATGCAGCGTCTTTGGTGTCGTTGGTAACACCGTCCAGACGCCCCAAAAATATATATATATATATATTCCATTCAATATTTTTTATTTAGAATCTACTAATTTGTAATTCTGTTTGTATCTGCATGAGACTCATTATTATATTTAATATTAATCTGGTTCTCCCATTTGCTTCGTAACAAAATTTCGATATTATAATTTGTTACAAAGGGAAGTAATGCTAAAATAATGAACAAGGAAAATAAACTACAACGAAAGCAATACTGAATACTGGAATTCAGGAGCTCAACTTTTTCTTAAAAAAAACACGGGAATGTAAAGCAGAAGTAAGTGATTAAGGTTATGAATAACATTTCTTAGAGTCAAGTATTAGAATCTAGTGATTTTTAAAATGACAACACGCATGTTAGAAATGTAAGATCCAGTTCTAAGCTCACAAAGCCAGGACCCAGCCATCAGAGACGAGAAGTCTGCGACCTTCCCAAGTTGAGAAGTTGTCTTGTTTGGTTCTTCACTGACTCTTTAAAGATTATTAGATCTAGAATCTAGATTTAACTAGATTGATAGATCTAATAAATAATATTCTTGAATCTAGCATACTGAAGAGACCCTTCTGTATCAGACTTCGGTAAAACTCCATTTTAGCGTATTTTATTCTCCATTGCTTGTTTACCTCCAGTCGAGCGTATTTTATTATAATAACCGAAACACACCAAAACATTAGGAAAACACGATTTATATATTTGTATTTTTGTTTTTCACAAATGAATAAAAATGAATATTTAAAAAACACGACTTATTTATTTGTATTGTATTTTTGTTTTAACAAATGAATAAAAACAACAAAGAGACTGACTGAAATGCTTTGTTTGTTGGTTACAAAAATAGAGATGCACACTTTGTACAAATATGTGCTCCAATTTCAACTAAACTGAATAGAAGTATTAAAAGGCATAAGGGGTCGTCCATAAATAACGTCACACTAATAGGGGGGAGGGGGGTCCATAATTTTGTGACGGTGTGTGATGAGGGGGGGGGGGGGATCAGATGGTGCAATGTCACACTTTTGCATTATAAAAAAGCAATGTTAGAAAACAAATTTTAGACGTTATTTCGCGTTTTAGAAAACGGTTTTAATAAATTGTAATAGGGGTTGACAGAGTTCAGACAAGCTTTTAGAAAAAATATCGCCGACCTTAGGGGGGGGGCGCCAAATTGAAAGTTTGAGGGGGGTGCAAATGAAAAGTTCGAGGGGGTGCAAATTGAAAGTTTTGTCCCCGGGCGCCGGGAGGGGTCGCTACGCCTCTGACCCCACATCATTTTTTTTTTAAAGTCAGAAATTTACTCATGCAAAAAATCATACTTGATACATATATCAAAATATTGGGAAGGATGGTAGATCTATTATCATACTACTATGAATTTAAATAACATACAACTCTATAGTAAAAATATTTTTTTCAGTTTTGGCAAAACTGTCAAATTAAAAAACACAGTTTGTACATTTATAGCATAAATACAAAATTATAATACAGAATAATTAACAGTGTATCAGTTTTACCATGAGACAAATGCCTTTTTATAAAAATACAACACAAACAAGTCTTTTTTAAAAATATCAAATATTTTAAATATTTGTGAAAACAAAAATACAATACAAATAAATAAATCGTGTTTTCCTAATGTTTTGATGTGTTTCGGTTATTATAATAAAATACGCTCAACTGGAGGTAAACGACAAGCGGAGAATAAAATACGCTAAAATGGAGTTTTACCTCAGACTTCACTTAGAGTGGTTAGACTTAGAGTAAGACTACATTAAACAATAAACATAGGCCTCAAACTAATTAATAACATACTACTTAGATCTAGTACTTACTACTACTACTACTAGTAGGCCTACATACTTAGTACATACTACTAGATCTAGGTAAAACTCCATTTTAGCGTATTTTATTCTCCGCTTCTTGTTTACCTCCAGTTGAGCGTATTTTATTATAGAACCGAAACACACCAAAATATTAGGAAAATACAATTTATTAATTTGTATTGTATTTTTGTTTTAATAAATGAATAAAAATAAATAAAAAAAACAATGAGACTGATTTTTGTTTTAGATTTTGATAAGTTACTTTTGTCAAAACTTGAGAAAAATCCAAATTTAGAATATATTCAATATTGAATGTGCTGTGTGTCAGTTAGAATTTTCATGGCAATGGGTGAAGTACGTGTATGTAAACGTAACTCACAATTTGCAAGGCGGTTAAGTTTGTATTGTTATAACAATAAGTATCTCCCAGGCATGATACTATAAATAAACATTTATGAACTTACAATGACCCCAAAACTGAGGCCAACACAATTTCAAACAGCTATTGCCCTAGCTAAGACGTATGCTGATAATTTAAGTCAATGTGAACTCACGGTGAACCCGCGACCATGTAAGGATTTTTCTCCCGCTGACGATCATACGATATTTAATTGGAACAGATTTTTAATGTTTTTTTTTACCTTTTCTAATTAAAAATCACATTCATAAAAAAATAAGTAGATCTAGTGTTTTCCTAACGTTTTTGTGTGTTTTGGTTGTGTTTATAATAAAATACGCACAACTGGAAGTGAACGTGAAGCGGGGAATAAAATATGCAAAAATGGAGTTTTACCCTAGATGTACATACATCTTCTACTACTACTAGTGACTAGTGTAGTCTAGACTAGATCTATATCTACATTATCTAGATCAAGATTTTAGATTTATGTTTAGTTAGGGGCCTACTGTTTTAGTACAAATCAATTAGTATGTAATAGTAATAGTATGTATAGATAGGCTATAATAAATTAATAGCAGATCTAGATCTAGTTGTAGTAGTACTAAGTCACCAACTAGCTAAGCTGAAGCCAAATGCCTTCCTTATGGCTTATAAATAGTAGGCCGACAGAGTTACGATACAATAATAGTATAGTACACATAAATAAAACCATGAAAGTTGTTTATGGCATTCTCCAAGTCAATATGACATAAGGAAAAAGAGCAGATCTAGAATCAAAATTTATAAATAAGAAATCTATGAATAGTGTGAGTTTAAGTTTAATGACATTATGTTGGCCCTATAACTTGTATTACTAGCCTACTACAGATTTATGATTGAAACATCAGTGACTATTCTCAATATTCATTTCTTTTTTTCTTTTACATTCTTAATTTTAGTGTTCAAGTATTTTTTGTCTGTTATGCGCCATATATTGTAGATATTTCCGCTAAATCTAAAATTTTCTCAATTTACAATTTAAACATGACCACCAAATAATAGACATTCATATTTAAACCATTTGGCACTCATTTTGAAGGCTTTATCTTGTGTTAGACTAAATTACTAAATTTCACCAGACTAAATTGATCATTTATTATCGCTCACAGTCATGACACGCAACCCCTCTCCATTACAACCTTGTTATATCACCCTTGTGTTTTAAGCATGCTACGAATCTGGTTTGGCTTTTTAACTATCTATGCGCAAAAGTTCCTCACTGGTGAACACCATAGAGGTCGCATGTTTTTTTTTTAAATTTTGTTTGTCATTTCCTTGGAGGTCTTATAAAAAAGTTTCTTGTAATATTTGCTTTATTTTTTCAAAGACTGATAAACCTAATAGTGCTACACTATTCCGTTCATTTTTGTACTGCTCTGGCTGATATTTTTAAAGTTCTATTAATTTTAATGAAACGAACTTTTAAATTTAGCCTTCGTTCTCCAAAGCAAATTTTGAAATGTTTTTCTGCCTCCTATTGCTTGTTTTTATAACGTGAAAACCCATCCATTTTCCTTGTGCTAAACATTTTTAAAAGTAATTCTAAGAAGGTCACTGAAGCTAAGTTTAAAACATACTATTTTTTTCACTGTATTCTAGTTTCTACTTTGAATAATCATTCCTTAAATGGCTACTAAGTACTAAGAAAACCCCTACTACCTACTAGATCTACTAACACAAACTACTAGTTAGTAGACTGGTAGTAGGGCTACTAACTAAAATTTACTAATTTTTCTACTAAGACTTACTTACTTATTGCCTACTTTTTTTTAGTACCAATTAGGCCTAGATTATATCAATAGTAATATTATTTGTCATTGCTAGCATTAGGTCTTGACTAACAAAAATAGTAAAAAAAAAACCCCAGTAAAATGGGTGAATTAGTGCAAATATTCCCATTTGTACTCAAGAACTTATTACTTAAATAAATGTTTATCATCCTATTTTTTTTTAAAATTATTTTCATTACAGATTGAGTTGAAGACCAAAATGTAATGCTGTGAAATTAATAAAAATAACTCTTGGTACACACCTTCATTTTTCAAGTATTTTTAGCTTATACCTGCATTTACCATGAGCTTTGAAAGCCAAGATGCTGACACCTTTGCTGGTAAATATATAATTGTCACATCTAAATTTTATATAATTGATGTTAAGTTATTCATTTTAAGATTATGCATAAATGACATCACATAGCTTGAGGAGGGGGGGGGGGGGGTTAGAGAGAGAAGTGTGTCTTCACACTTATGTAAATAAAAAAAAATTGACCAATGTTGATCATGAAATTGATATGCTAGAATAATATTGTTCTTATTTAACAGTGATTGGCAATATTTTTGTTGAATGCAGCCTAGCTTTGGACATTACTTTAATTATTTACCTTATTAAAGGAAAGCAACTAGGATTTTAGGAAGCAGTTGTGTAATTAAACAGCAAAATTCTAAATTTGATAGCAAGAAAAAAGGGGATCTGCAAAAAATGTGCTACCTCACTAATGGATGATCCAATGATAAAAATAAAAAAAATATATATATATAACTTGAAATGACTAGGCCCTATCTCAATGGTGAAACCATATACAAAAATATCTGTCAATCATTAGTTGATTCAAGTAACTTTTCCAAATCATATAGAAGGCTGTTTTTTTTTTCCTTCTAATTTATCACTTAATAGGTGAAGATGAGAGGAAAAGAGACTCCAGTAAAAAGAGAGATGGCAAAAAGGAAAAGAAAGAAAAAGGCTATCAGATGTTTGAGGAAGAAGATTCTGAGGAAGAAAGGCTAGTTTTAGCTGAAGAAATCAGGTGAGAATATTGGAGATAGCCTTGTAAATTAAATTGTATTTACCGGAATACATGTACATATATTAACTACTCCCACCATTACACTTAGTCGACTTAGTTGATTCTCTGTGACAATTCTTAGTTTTAAATTCAATTACTCCTGTGGGCCTACAACATTTTAATACAATAATTATTTGACTATTACGTAATTTATAAATAGGTCATTAGTATTTATTATTTGCTACCATATGACATACATAATTAATACTGTATATAACATCCTGGTGCTTTTTAATAATTCTCATACAATTCTTGTACAGAAGTCCAAGCAAGAAGAAGGACAAAATTATTCCAAGTTTTAAATTTCAAGTCAGGAAAGAGAAAACCAAAGAGAAGGTAACTCTCATGAAAACATTGTGTTTGATAAAAACAAAACAGTCTAATTCATCACCTTGATTATATATTTATAATTAGAATTATTAGAATTATTCTGTAGAATTTTTAAAGTGTGTCAAATATTAAGTTTGACAAGACCATGACACATGATTACCTTAGCTTATCACTTAGGGAAAAGACTATGTGATAATATTATATACAGGAAGGCCTATTCCTAAATCATGCTATATACTATATATGATGCCTTATTTGAATGAGTTATACAATACTTCTTGAGGTTTATTTAATCAACTGTGTGTTTTCATGTACAATTTTAAGTGAAATATTATAAACTTGAAGGCAATCAGTTATGTTGCTATGATAATTATTCTTGTTTCTGTTTTAAATTTTGCATGTATAATAGGAAGAAAAGAAAGAAAAGGAATCCAAGGAAGAAAAGGAAAAGAAAAAAGAAGAAAAGAAAAAGAATAAAGTAAAAGACAAGAAGAAACTAAAAGCTGGACACCATGACACTGGAACAGTCATAGTAGAACCTGGTAAAAGTTTTGTATTTTACACTTACAAAACATGGAAAACAAATATTTCTCCATATTTATTTGAGGATGATGAAAACTTTAGACAGGTTTCATGTTATAAATTTTATCACGTTTTATGATGACTTCTGAAATTTAATTTGTTATTTTAGATTAAAGTAATTTTTTAACTCAAGTATATGAATGTTACATAAAAATGTTACTTTTTTAAAGTCTGTATGTTGAATGAAATAGTAAGTTATAAGATATTTGTTTTGTTAGCTCTGAATGAGAATCCAATTTTTGGAGTGCCCCTGGCTACAGCAGTGGAGCGGAACAAGTCCCATGATGGCATTGAGCTGCCAGCCATTGTGAGAGAGTGTATAGACTATATTGAGGAGTGTGGTTAGTGCTGAGCTATACATTTCTTTCATTTTATTTTATTACTTCAAGCAGCATTTAAGCATATTAATAATTATCAACAACAATTCAAATTCACAACAACATGAAAGACTACTGGTAAAGTAGACTTTAGCTGTGACAATACCTTTAGGGAAATCTGCAATGTTTTTTTTTCATTACATTACCTTCTTTTCTCCTGTTTCTAGTTAGCCATTTTTCAAACCTAAGCTTAGGTTTTAACCAGAAATCAAACAAACAGCTATACAATGAATTAAATGTATCACTTTTCAGGTCTAGCTTGTGAAGGAATCTACAGAATCTCTGGCGTCAAGTCTAAAGTTCAGCACCTGAAAGACTGCTACAACCGGCAGCAACCGGTTCACCTGTTTGAGCATGAGCCCAACATTGTTGCCAGCCTGTTGAAGCAGTTCTTACGAGACCTACCAGAACCAGTACTAACCACAGCCCTTATGCCAAAGTTTGAAGAGGCTTCCAGTAAGATTCTCTCCTTTTGTACACTCTAGTGGTTTTAGAATTTTCTAGTTTTTTTTTTGTTTTTTTTTTCCTGTTTCGGTCAGTTATAGTAAACAAAAAACAAACTTTTAAAAATTTACTTTCACTTTTAAACTGTGTGGTAATTTAATACACACTTGTTTTTAGTAAATAAATGGTTACCTTGTATTATATTTATTTTAAAAATATTGGCCCTATATTATTTTACAGTGCTTACAATTGTAATTGTTTACTTCATTTAGCCTACAAAAGTAACAAGAAGAAAGTTGAAGGTTTCAGTAAGTTGATCAATGACTTACCAACATGCAACAGACTTTTGCTTAGCTGGATGATAGTCCATATGACACATGTTATTGAGCTGGTGAGCTTGGCATTTTTTTTTACTTTCTCGTATATACGAAGTATAGAGAAAGTATTGTAATCTTGCACAAAAATAACATTAAATTTTGAGTTTTCACCATTTTACTCCTCAGTCCTTCATCACATCCGGAGTATAGAGGACTTATTTTAATCAGGCAAAAATTATAAATACAAATATATAAACGTTTTGGCGTTTTATGCGTTATCGACTCGTGAAAACTGGACTTTGCAATTCTGTCCGTATGTCTGTGTGTCTGTCTGTGTGTAAACACGATAACTTGATTATCGTTACAGCTAGGTTGATGAAATTTCATATACAAGTATTTTATCAAAATCGTAGATCCTGATCAACTTTTGAGCGATTTCCGATAACCGGAAGTGGTACTTTTTCTACTTTCAATTTTTCAAAAGCCTATAAGTTGCGTATTATTTTAGATAGATGCATGAAATTTCACACGTAAGTAAAAGATCTAATTCTCTACCTTCTATCACATTTTGAGTAATTTACGTTGACCGGAAGTACTAATTTACGCTATTTCCGATTTCTCAAAAAACGCATGTAAATTTATAAAGTACTAATAATATCCCACACTTTTATACACAAATTATTAGGCGTTCACTTGGTGTGGGACGGAGTGGTCTAGCGGTAGAGAGCTGGACTGCTAACCTGTTAGTCTCCAGTTCGAATCCGAGTTCAAGTCAGTAGACCGTCCCTGAGTCCACCCAACTCTGATGGGTACCTAACTCCTGTTAGGGAAAGTAAAGGCGGCTGGGCATAGTGCTGACCACACTATCTCTTCATATGCCGAGGTCACAGAAACAAGTGAACTCTACTTCACTTGCCCCATAGACCGTTAGGTTTGAAAGGGAAACTTTTCACTTGGTGTGCAATTCTTTTTTTTACGAGATTCTATTCTATTATAAAAAGTTTAAGTAATTAAAAATGGATAACAAATATTGTCTATGTCCTGAGTTGCCATCCCTCGTAATTTTATATTATAATATTCGAGAAAGTTTAGGGGAGATCACTCCTGGTTTATTACTAGCTTGAACTAGAGCTGACTCACTTAACAATTTATACAAAGTTCTCCACAATTTTAGGGAGATCAGCAACATTTCTACAGTTTCCAATCTATGTTTTTATATTATTTTGCCAGCACAAGGAAAATAAAATGACGTTACAGAATGTGAGCATCGTACTGAGCCCAACCATGCAGATCAGCCACAGAGTCTTGAACGTCCTGTTCTCTAATGTCAACGAGCTCTTTGGAGATGTACTCTTGCGCAAGTGAGCTGTTCTAAACTTCTCAGTTACACCATTTGACAAGGAATTATTACTAAAAATTTCAGTACAGTAAAGTCTTTTAAAGCATTGTGTATTTTTCTTTAAAATTATGGTTCTTAACCTTTTTGGAGGTGTCAAACCCCACAATTTTCATTTGCACATTCACCAATGCCTTCTTAATAATTATATCATCCGCACCGACAAAATATGATGATGAGTCGGGTGTGTGTGTCTTGACCTCTGTAGAACCCCTGAGACTAACTTGCCAACCCCTGGGGTTCTATTGAACCCAGGCTAAGAACCACTGCTTTAAAACATCAAATAAAATTTTGAACATACATATCTAACTTTCACAAATATACTTTTCCAGCTAATTTGAAGTTTATCGAAAACAAATTTCAGATATATTCCACCTTTAAAACCTGCCCATTCTAAATGGTCACTAGAGCTACCTGATAATCCATCGGCTTTAGAGGAAGAATTAGCCAAACAGGTAATTACATAATCATACTTGTATAACAATATTGGTTTATTAAAATACAATATCCTGCACATGCCAAAGAATTGGCAACAGGTTGAAAAGTTTCTTTTGTTGCTTTTTTTTGTTTCGTTTATTGCATCATGTAAATATTTTTGTTTAATGTTCACTTGTCAGTGATTTAAAAGCTGAGCTGACATGGATTGCTTTTATTAAATTTTTAGTGCTCATCTTGTTAACTTATTGGTTGATTTTGTTTTGAACAGGTATTTTGGTGAAACCAATACATTAATTGAATCTACATTAGGAATCTTTGTTATACTGATAAATTAAGTTCTTATATCTGTTTTCACCAGGAATCTTTGTTGAACCAACTTCACGCTGAAGTTAATTCTGGCAGAGATGACCCAGACACTGTGGACCAGCTGTGGGAAGTTCAAAGGGTCGTCACCCAGTTGAAAAGAAAGGTCAGGGTTCATCTTTATATTTTAGCTATATTTTTTTATTCATTGGATTTCAGCTGTTTGTCAAAGTAACATAGCATTTATTTCTCCAAGCATTTTACCCTTTAAAATTAAATTAACCAGCTGTAAAAATCCATTTTTCTTTGCATCCAAAAAGAATGTATTATCTTCATCCATCATAATACTTTAAAAGGTCTTTGTAGATTTATCATGGTTTAACAAAAAAAAATGAATTTTTAATTTTAGATTTATTTAAAATGTAGAATTTAATTTCAAATGTTTACAGATCAAGACAGCTAAAAAAAATGTTGAGATGGGAGAGAGGAGACGAGCTAACCCTGATGCTAAAAGGTCATCCACTGCTTCCATCCCCTCCCTCAGTGCCCCAGAGGACCTTCAGCTTAGCCTGAGGCCAGCACCTGACCCAAAGGTTGCCAGCACAACAACGGTTGCTGCGGTTGTCGAGAAACAACCTGATGATGAACATCAAGTCCAAGTAGAGGCTGCACTAGAACCTAAAAAAGGTGTTACATTCGCTGAGAGTAGCAAAAAAACTAAAGCCCCTCAAATTGGGGAAATTAAAAAGATGGAAGAAGAAAAGAAAGTGAAAGAAGAGGTAAAGACTGAAGTTGAGAAAGTGCAGGAGGGCAAGGAGCCACAGGAACAGAAAGCCAGTGAACAAGGGGCAGGGGAAACTGCAGAAAAACTTGAAAATGACAAAGAAAAACACATTAAAAAAGAGGAACTAGCATCAGCCCAGACCAGCCCAAATAAAATCACGGAATCAGAAAAGCAAGTTCCCTCTTCAGATGTTAAACAAGAAATTAAGGAACCTGCAAAGGAGAAAGATCTGAAAGAAAATGTATTGCCCCAAGAGAACAAAACTCAAGCAGTAGAAGAGCAAAAAGCAATTGATAAAGCAGAAGTAACTGAAAAGAAAATTGAGCCAATAGAAAAGCAGGCTGCTGTAGTTGAGAACAAAGAACAGGAAGTTGTCAAAAAAGCAGAAAAGAAAGATGTACCTATCTCAACAACACCCCATGAAGTTATCAGTCAAGTAAAAGGTCGTTTTGAAGTGACAACCAAAACTGAGGATGTTCCTGAAAAGGTTGCAGAGCCAGCTAAACCCTCTGAGCCAGATAAATCTGCAGAGCCAGCTAAACCTGCTGAGCCATCTAAACCTGCGGAGCCAGCTAAACTTGCTGAACCAGCTAAACCTGCTGAGCCTAAAGCTCCTGCTGCCACTGCACAGATTCATGCAGCAGAACCCAAACCCCAGAGGGAAGAAAACAAACCCAAACCAGCAGCTAAAGTTGAATATGTCTACAGGAAGCCACCCAATCCACCTTTCATGTCTACAGATTTGTTGAAGCCAATGAAAGCTGAGATACCCAAGCCAAAGCCCCCAGTAGAGGATACTGAAGCAAAGAAGGAGCACATGCGGAAGTCAGAAGAATTGAGAGAGCTAGAAGAGGAACTGCTTGGGGAAAAGAAAAAGAAGAAAGAGGATTTTGGTAATAATTTATTTTAGTACAGCTTTTTTTTACATTTTTTAAATATGGATTTTGTTTTATTTAAAAAACTAACCAGTCTAATGAAATCCTTTTAAAAATGAAACTATTTTTGTTTTAGACTTGCCAGAAAATGTTGACATTGAACAGCTTTTAGAAGAGGAGTATGCCCTAGAACTGGAGAAAGAGGAATTGCTTGCCATTGGTAAACTTATTAATTAACCTCATCAGTTAATTTACTTTGTTATATCAAAGAGATTCATTTTGAATTACTTTTATTAAAAATCAAGTTTAAGATATTAACATTAAGTTAGAAATTACGATGCACAAAAATTAACAGCTCAGTATGTTACAAAATATTTATAATTTTTAAAAGTAAGTATCTTTTTTTTTATTTAACATGACACCAGGACGGGAGGAGTAGAGTTGCTTTGTTCATCACTAACGCTTTGTTTAGCATATTGATGTTTTTAAACCTTGCTGCAAAACCAGCCACCGCTTTATGTTGGCAGTTATACTTATAAAGCTAATTTAATTTCAAATCTCAACCAGCTGATGAACTGAAACAAAAGATTGCCACTGAGCGCAGTGAGATGGAAAGACTGACCCAAGAAATCCAAGAGCTCCAGTATTTGAGGCAGGACTCAGACCTTGAAGACTTGAGCACCAGCTCATCCTCCAGTGATGAGAGTGAAGATGAAGACGACCTGCAGGATTTGCTGAGTCAGCTTCTCAATGACAACGAGAACTTGGAGGTAATTAAAATAAACTCAGTGCCACATTGGGTTAAAACTAGGGGAATTCTGTTTTATATTCAATAAAATTTGGATCAGTCAAGTACTTAGATTTATTTTAAACCATTATACCAAAATGGTGATGAGTTTTATTTGCTGGTTTACTCAAAAATATCCCTTAATAACGGTTGGCCTACTTTTCTCTACACTATATTTTAATTCTGCTGGCCTTAAATATTCATTACTAAAATTCAGCTCTGTGTATATGTTTCACTCCACTTGACACTTTTTTAAATTTGCATTTTTATCTTTTAGATGAAGAATGCTGATCTTTGTCAAAAAATTCATGAAGAAAGGATGATTTGCCTGAGTGTCAAACTTCAGATCAGATTGCTTCAGCAGAAACATTTAGAAACCTCATATGGCTAATTTACTAAAGCATTGGTTTTAACTATTTCAATGAAATGCTTAACTCATTGTATTATCATCAAATAATGCATTTAATGTTGCTTTTTTTTGCTGTGGGTTTCATTGCTAATTAAATCATAACAGTTATTTTGTACATTAATGTCTAAATACAGATTATTTAATTAACGTTTTGTTTGTTTTGTGGGGTGGGAAACATGTTTTGTTGTAGACCTAGTATTTTATATCGCTAATGTTTTCAAGGAATTTCTTTCGTTTGAGGAAAATATCTACATTCCAAACTTGCTGTAAAAAATGTTAATTTTAAATTTGACCCCTAGTATTAACCCCTAAGAGCAAAATATCTTTCCTAACATAAGATCATTCAGAACCCTAATCCTATAGGATAGAAGCTGTGTTCATTATTGCCTAACAAAGCTTGCCCAGTAAATACTTTATGTTGTCAAATTTTAAGTAAAAATAGAATCTAACACTTGTTACTGCAGTGTTCAGAGAAATGTTTTAATTATTCTAGTCAACTATGGATGCAATTTATTTTAATCCTATAGCATACCCCTATTGTTTGCCTTATATAGTTTATCATCCTTTTTACAATAAAGTTAAAAACCTATCAACAAAATTACTATACTAATTTATTATCAAATGCTGAGTTGTTATAATTCAGGTTCCACAATTTAGGCTGGTTATTTGTTTTGTACCATCTAAAAACTTTTTTTTAAACATTTAGGAGCTTGAGGTGTAAATCAAGATATTCTAAAAAGCTAGTGGTTTAATTAGAAAGGCTTACACCATACATACAAACCTGCCATTACTAAATTGTGTGAATGTGATTTGTAACTATATTATTGAATGGTAAAGAGTGGATGAAAAAAAGGTAATAGAGCATGCTACTGCTAATACATCTGTATTTTGTTGTTCATGTTGTAAATTGTTGCCAAAAAACTTATAGAAAATGTACTCAAACCATGTAATGTGTGAGTGAATAGTGGTAGGTAACCAGCAGATTTTATTTGCTGCTGTTGATTCCAGTAGTATAGGCATATGCTTAGTTATCATTTACTAAACTTTGCTTAGGTTTACATTTAGATGTAAGTTTAGGGACTCAATGTATATGGATTTGCTATAAACTTTAAATTAAAATGTTTTTTAATTAGGGTTACTTGTAAATATAATAGTTTTTTAAATTTTGTTTGTATTTTTGCCTGCCTTTCCCCTTACAAAAATTCTGGTATGTATATTGTTTCTAATTACTGCCAGATATTTTGAGTATTAATTTGATGAGGTGTGATGAAAGGTTTTCTAAAAACATTTGTTTTTCTTTTATGAAGAATAAAATTTTATGATGTGTTGTTGTGGTGATTTTCATTGTATAAATGCTTTTATGAGAAAAGTGATAGTTTCCTTGCATGATAAAATTTAAAACTTTTATGCACAAACCCATAAAATAGTACACTATCCATATTATAGTACATTTGTGTGTTTTAATATACATAAATTAACTTGATCACAATGTGCAATTTTTCATTAAAGGAATTTGACTTGGATTATTGCAATGGTTGTCACTATTTTCTTTTGTATGATAAATCTGTATGAATTTTTTCTTACACATGGAAGTAACTGAAAATATATTTGGATCCAACAGATCAAAGCTCATCAGTTCCCTTTTTAAACACAAAACTAATAACTATTGATACAATTCAGCACTGGATGTATGGTTGTTTTGTTTATAAAGAGCATTCCCATCAACTAGCCATGCAATTGTTTGAAGCATAAAATTATAATGTAGTCATATGGCTACACTGATATCTCCAGTTGGTAGGTCCTATGATACAATGAAAAAACGTTAAAGTAGATAGGCCTACTAAAAATATTACTTCACTTTGTTTGCACTAAAAATAAGACCAGTGATGTACCTAGATCATAACTGAGAACACAGTTGTGCTCATGCTATCTCAGTTCTACTAACATTATTATTTAAATATATAACTTTAATGTAGTGATTTTTACATGATTGAAAAACAAATCATCTTAGGCTTGACATGTTCAGTGGTTGCATGTATGATGACGATGGAAAGGGGGGGGGGTGGAATTATTAAATGATAAATGTCATTCTAATAAGACTGCAAGCCTCCTTCAATTTGGTTACAAAATTTATCAGGGACAGGTTCTATTTAAATTTACATTTGGCAATATTGAGTACAGTATAGGATGAGAAAATTCTCCATCCCCCTCTTGGATCTCTAGCTAGTAAAAATAACTGATAACTGCATCTTAACGATAAAGCTTATTATTTGTTATATTAGGCCTAATATTTAAGAATATTTTATAGTCTCTAGGCCTATATATATTTATTTAATAATAATTGTAAGGCCTAAGATTGTAGTGGGGAAAGAATCAAAGAAGAGCTAATCTACGAATTTTAGTTAAATTTTAATACGGAGTTTTAAGTATCGTTGTCACATAGATTTCTAAATATTTACATTTGTTAAATGACTGTTTTAATAAAATACATATTTTTTGTAATTTTCTAGATATTTCTCTTTTAGAACTTTATTTCGATTTTGAAGTGGTATTTCGTTATTTCACAAACTCTTTTGGTTTTGTACGATACTTACTTTTAACAGTAGATCTAATCATTTGCCTTAACCCGGAAGTTATTGATGGGTGCGGTCTGAACGTGGCATTCTTCATTCAACTTGTAGCTAGATCTAATTGTTACTGTTACATCATCAATTTGTTTTTGTCCCTCATTAAACTAAATTAAACTATGATGGAATTATTTAATTGAATAACAACATACCATAAAGAAAGGTAAATTTAATCGGACTACTTGTAGATCTACTTATTATAATACTGTGATAGTGTACTCAAGTGTACTGTACTGTAGTGTAATCTGAATCTAACTGTTTTGTTTACTCACTGAGCTTTACACCTGTCTCAGTCAGTGTCTGTTAGTTACTAGATTCTAGATCTAGAAGTCTAGCTAGATTCTAGATCTATATAGATCTATATTATATAGACCTAGATCTAGGCCCTATTTATAAAATTTTATATCATTGATTAGGATTCTAGATAAATATTAAATAGGGAGGCTCACTAACTTAAAAGCGTCCTTGGTTGCTAACCAGAACATGGCGTAAGGATCGGACCATGACTTCCGGCGAGTTTTTCGACTTAGTTCCAGAGACCTTCTTAGAATTACTTTTAAAAATGTTTATCACGAGTAAAATGGCGGGTTTTCACGTTATAAAAACATGCTATAGGTGGCAAGGCTAAATATGCCAGAAAAGCATTTTCAGAAATTGCTTTGGGGAATGTAGGCTAAATTTAAAGTCGGTGTCATTCAAAATAATTTAACTTTTTAAATATAGATCTCCCTCTCACAAAATTGATTTCCAAAGTAAAGCATTATTAGTTTTATCATTCTATGAAAAAATAAATCAAATATCTTCAACACTTTTTTTTATAAGATGTGTCCAAAAAATGACAACCAAATTTTTTTATTTTTTTTGACCACGTGACCGCTATTTGAATGGATACGTTTACCTGGCATGGTTTTTTATTTTGCTCTTTTGTACAATAAAAAATGTTATAAAATTAAAGAAATAAAAGAATTCAAACATCACTTCTGTCTTGTCTTTTTTAAAATTCTTTTCTGATGACATTCTCTTAAATTTTTTCCCTCTATAAATATATCCCGACGATAGACGGGCCAATTCTACTTTTAGGAACTCTCTTGTAAAAAAAAATTAGATCTATTTCACGGTCAATTAAAAAGTTAAACCCTTCAGCTTTTAAGCAGGTTGTCATGGATGGATCCCTCATACCATAGCTGTGAGTGACCAAAAAATTTAAAATTCAATAATTTAGTCTAAAACTTGCAACAACTCCCAAAATTAGTGCCTAGTGGATAAAGTATGGACGTTTTTTATTTAGTTGTCATGTTTAAGTTGAAAATTGAGTACATTTCAAATTTACTAAGAAAATCTAATATTAAATATAGATAGTATTAAGATAGGTAATCTATCGTTTTGGGTACGTAAAATCGCCCGCAACTTGTAATGTGAAAACCAGGTGACTCCTTAAATTTTAATAACTATTGCACATTTTGAGGAGGATTTATGTTTTGAAAAATACAAAAATGTTTCCTTGTTTCATTTATGTACCTGTTTTTAAACAATTGAATTAAAACTTTTCAATAATAAATGAAGACTAGCGATGTTTCCAACAGATGCAACCACGCTCATTTACTATAGCAGCCATCTTGTTTAAGTTCTTTCTTTGTTAACTTATAGCGCGAGTCAGGGGAAGGCAACTCTATTTTACCAATGGCTGCTGTTTATATAGGAAATCCTGCTCGCAAACACTGCTGTTTAAAGTTAATTTCTGGCATATATTGATATATTTAGCCATTGATTTAGGTTTATTATTCATTTATCTATAATATTTGACACAAATATATCACAATATACTTCTATTACAGCCTTGACAGTAAGGTAACTTTTTCGTACATTACTAGCCGCGGGCGATTTTACGTACCCAAAACGATAGATTACCTTAAGATAGGCCTATAAGTATATAATAACTATATATATATTAGTAATTTTTAATCAGTAGGCTATCCAATTTTTTTACTTCAGTAGTAGGTGGGGAACATGTTTTCAACTTTTAATAATTTGCATTCCCAAATTCTTATTATAATTTATAATCAGGCCTAATATTGCACAAAAACTTGTAAATCTTTAAGCAACACCCATCCATGTACCCATTTTATGATTAGCAGAATCATCATTTTAATTGCTGTTATAATAATACTGTTCAACAATATCCTCTTCTTTTCACCACAGTGGTCGTGAAATACAATCTTAAAAAGATGTCTTAAGGCTCCACCTTCTTCTAATGTAAACATTTTTCAAGCAAAAACTAAACATTTTGTCATTTGTTGTTCTTAAAAGAAAAATACATCAATAAATTAGTATAAATGATGCCATTTTCCTCATTGGAAGAGAGAAAGTTCTACTTCAGATGAGAGACAGATTGGGGGGGGGGGGGGGAGATATCAGAAAAATTAAACTTTTTTATTTTAAAAAGAATTTTTTTTTAAATTGAATGTTAGCATTTATTTAGCATTTTATAAAGGACTTTTTCTTTCTAAATTTGTAGGCCAAAAACAAATCTATCTGTAGAAATAAATTGCTGTTTAAACACAAATAAATTTTATTTATGGGGCAGGAGGGTATTACTCACATATATAGAGAAAGAGAGAGGGAGTTAAATTGAACTATGTTCAAGGTATTAGATGTTCTCTGCCATATAATTTAGTATGAAAAGTACTGAATGAGAAATCAAATATAAAGGTAAACATATCTTATGCTGTAAATTTATTTTCAAACTTGTAAAATGTGTGGTATTTTCTGTTTTAGATCATCTTAATATCCATTGAGCAATATCAGAGTTCACCTGACTAAACCATGAAGGCCTTAATTCTTGTTGGAGGTTACGGCACAAGACTCCGTCCTTTAACACTCAGCATACCCAAACCTTTGGTTGAGTTTGGAAATAAGCCAATGCTGTTTCATCAGTTGGAAGCTTTAGTTGATGTAAGAGCTGTTTTAGACTTTAAATTAGAGCCCTTGTTTATTTCATTAATCTCTTAATTAAAAGTTGTGTGTGGTGCAACTTTCCCAATGGTAAGGATGCAAAATAATATTTTGGCCTATATAAAAAGTTACAAAATGTGTTAGTTTAAGGTAACTGAGTAATTCAAAGTGTTTTCTGTTCTTAGGTATTTAAAAGTATATTTATAAAACCTTGTTTAGTTTCTCTAACTGCTGGGTAGGTAGAGTCAGTTTTTTTATATTAGGTAACTGCTCAAACAACAAAGTGTCATGGAAAGATCATGTTACATAGTTTTGTTTATTCAGGCGGGAGTAAAACACATTGTGCTTGCTGTGAGCTACAGGGCTGAACAAATGGAGAAGGAAATGGAGAGCCTACAAAAACAGGTGAGTCAATGAGAAGCTTGCTGTATAGAACAGGTGTTCATTTATAGAGCCGCAACTTTTTTTTTGTGAACTATGAGCTTTTTCTTATGTTTTGATTTTCTAACTTTAGACTGCTTGTTTTTTTTCAGCTTGGTGTAAAGATATCAATTTCATTGGAAAATGAACCTTTGGGCACAGGTACATATAATCAATAAACAAAACCATCAATGTCAGTTATGTATGAGCTCTATCATCTTTCAGACCATTGTTAATAACTGGTAACACCTTGGAAAAGTTTAACTTTTTTTTCTATAGTTAGGTAGATTATTGATATATTTTTTTTAATTACTTACTTAAACTTAATAATTATTCATTTTCTTACTACTTGAATTTTTCGCTTACTTATTTTATTGGCTAAAAACTTTATTTTTGTTTCAGCTGGTCCATTAGCTTTAGCCAGAGATATTCTATCTCAAGATGATGATCCATTTTTTGTGCTCAACAGTGATATTATATGTGACTTTCCATTCAAAGATATGTTGTTGTTTCATAAGAACCATGGGAAAGAAGGAACTATTGTGGTAAGAAAAAGCATTCAATTTTTAAAGTATTGTTCCTTTAAATTTAAACAATTGTTCTTAATGATGTTGATTCTTTCTAAGGTTACAAAAGTAGACGAGCCGTCCAAATATGGTGTTGTGATTTATAATGCAGAAAATGGACAGATACAAAGATTTGTTGAAAAACCACAAGAATATGTTTCCAATAAAATTAATGCTGGCATGTATATCTTCAGTCCATCAATGTTGAAGAGAATAAAGGTTGGTATTTTCCCTTATTTTATAACCCTAACTAAAATGTTTTACTTACATCTAAAATTATACTAAATTTCTTTACCTGTTTTTATTCATTAAATATTGTGTTACAGCTTCAACCAACTTCTATAGAAAAGGAAGTCTTCCCAGACATGGCTCAAGATGGACACTTATTTGCCATGGAGCTGCAAGGTAACAATCGGCTTGAATGAAAGTACATATGCACATTTTAGATATGGGTTTCATAACAAAAAAAAATAATTTTAATTTACCGTCAGGTTTCTGGATGGACGTGGGCCAACCTAAGGACTTTCTAACAGGAATGTGTATGTACTTGACGTCACTGAAGTTTAAACATCCAGAGAAATTACATCAGGGTCCAGGCATTGTTGGCAATGTTCTTATTGTAAGCTTACTTCAGTCGACTTTTTGTTTAGCTAGTAAACTGGTTGTGTTCTTTTTGTAAGCTTATCACAGTCAACTTTTTGTTGAGCTAGTAAATTGGTTGTCCTTATTGTAATCATATGCACCTTTCCCTACAAAATTCTGATAAGCTTATCACAGAAAACTTTATGTACCTAGCCTATGTTTACAGCTTATTATTTATGCCTCATCAGTATTTTATAACACTGAACTTAATTTGACTGACAGGACCCAAGTGCAAAAATTGGCAACAACTGTAGGATAGGACCCAATGTTACAATAGGTCCCAATGTAACAATTGAAGATGGTGTCTGTATCAAGCGCTGTACTGTACTCAGGGAAGCTCATATCAAGTCTCACTCTTGGCTTGAGTCTTGTATCATAGGCTGGCGATGTGTGGTTGGGAATTGGGTAATTATCTTTTGTGCTCATTACTTCTACTTCTTGTTTCTCTTCGTTAATCGGACTGAAATGTACTTTAAATTTATCCAAAAAATAAGCTTCACTATAAAATAGTGTCTCGATTGCTAGTTTTAAATCAAAAATTATAGACCAAAATTGTTTTTTGTTTGAATTATTTTAATGTGAGTTGTGATAACTTCACTGTTTTTTTTCCAGGTACGAATGGAGAATGTATCAGTTTTGGGTGAAGATGTTATTGTAAAAGATGAGCTGTACATCAATGGTGGTAGAATCTTACCTCACAAGTCTATAGCAGAGTCTGTTCCTGACCCACAAATCATTATGTAAATTTATTAAGTTCATTTTCTGTACCACTTAGTAATATTATACACATTTTTTTCTCTGTAAACTTCATAATACCTGCCAGATACATAAAGGTCATTTTATAGTGGGACTCATGTTAAGAAGCTACCAGCATTTATCATGGTGTGAAAATCTTACTATGACAAAATTTTAAATCATCATTCAGAACATATTTTTAACAATTTTAATTAATATATCATACCTATGGTATGGAGACTGAATTTTGGTCTGTATTGTATGCTTAAATTTGTTTTCATGGTTGAATGAAATAGCATCAGTTTGATATTGAAATAGTGTACATATTTGACAAAAAGTATGCATTTAATTAAATGCTACTTATGGTTGACAAATTTTTACCGTCTTTTAAGATGTATTCTGTAATCTTTTTAATATGCAATTATTTGTTTGTAGCATTCTACTGCTGCTGATTAATGTTACTAAGTTTTTGAAATCCTGCTTAAGGAAAGCATTCACATCCCAAGCATTGACATGTGGAAGCATATGCCACGGCTTATACTTACAGTGTTCATACCATAATGTTCTGAGTGTATTGAGAAGTGTTAACAACAAACAACTCTCAAGCCATGTCAGAAGGTGAGGAAGAAATGAGCTCATAATGTATGTTATACACATTCCAGGAAACCATCATTTCATCAGTTCAAATGTTGGAACTAGTTATTATAAGAACAATGTGTATCTTAGTAATGTATTAAACTTGAGTCTTTTGGCTTAGCTATTGAAAAGTATTGTATAATATTAGGTTACTTTACTGAAAAATAGTGTGTATTATATCATTACTTTACTAATGTGTATTAGAAATATGTGCTTCTTGGTAATGTGTTAAACTTGAGTCTTTTGACATATCATTTTACTACTACTAAAACAGGGCTGCCTACACCAACAAATTTTGTAGGTAATAATGGCATTGATTCTTGCATAGAATTTTAAGTTTTATCAATAGACATCCAATGTTAACTATCACCAAATTTATTAGTGTAATGATAAGTCACAATATGCATGCTCTTTTTCTTAAAACAAGAAATGAAGATAATTAGTTGACTAACCCCCCCCCCCCCCCCCCCAAACAAAAAAAAAAAACCTATCAATTTGGTATTGATTAATCAAATAAAACTTGGAAATTTCAAAATACAGTCTATTGCCCAAGTAGGCAGCCCTGCTTCATCTCCAGTTAGGGTGGTCAGGTGTTTGTTGACACAGAATCAGGTTGTTTACTTTATCAATTGGTTTTTAAGGAAGCTTCAACATGAAGTACTTCACAAGTATTTTTTTCTACTGTTTATGTAAATATAAATTATAACAATTTTTATTTATTTCATGTGGGAGCTTGAAATTGTAATAAATTACAAGGTTTTATAAAACAAATCTTTGCATTATAATTAATTCAACAAAACTTTGGTATTTATTTTGTTTTAATGTAGCCTAAGAAAAATCTTGATCAAAGCTATATTCTGGAGCACCAAGTCCTTCTAGCGCTGACTCTAGAGCATTTGACAACTTCCCAGCCACTGCATCTGTTGAAGGAACAATTAAATCAGTTATATTTTGCGTAGATCACAAAAAGCAACAATAAAAAATACATTTTTCTACCAGAAGTTTGAAATTACGTACCCGCTCGCTTTCTTCGCTTTTTTTCCTTCTTTTCTGCCAACTTTTTACCCTTTTTGGTAGTTAGACCACCAAATTTCTCTAGTTCTAACTTTTTAGGAGGTCCTCTAGGTTTGACACCAGTTGTGCTTAGAGGCTTGTGTTTGCCCAAGGGTTGTGTTTTCTTGGTTTCTTTTTGCTTGCCAGCTGATATCGTTACTCCTTTTAACTAGATGCATAAACAAATGACTAAGTATAAATAATACATCTTTTTTCTACACTGATACAGATGTCTAGATTAAAACAAGTGGTCCAGCACAGTGTCTCCTAATCTCCCCCACCCTCCAGTTGATACAATTTTTTTTTAAATCTGTGACTCATCATTCAACCAAAAAACAAATGAGTGAAAAAAAAATTCTCACTTCTTGATGTTCCTTTTCATCCTCTTCCATATCTTCAATATCATCCTCTTCATCATCTTCCTTATCCAAATCTTCCATTTCATTATTATTTGCCTCCTCTAAATCTTTTTCGTCCATGACAACTTTGAGTGGACCAACTGATGATACCAACATGGCTTGTTCATTCTTTTGGTGAAGAGCTGAAAATTAAAACAAATATTTTAAATAAATTTAATTATCATATTTTCTAAACTTTCAATTCAACAACGTATTTTATCCTTCATATATTACAGGTGATGTTGTTCCTTGAGTTGTTTTTTTTACAGTAAATCAGCTGAAAACTAGTGATGTCTAGCCTCCCTCTCTTAAAAACCCAGAGAAACATTCCCACACAGTTCTACTAACTCATTAGGCTGTCCTTACATATGGGCAAGGAAAAGATAACTCACCTGCCAACATCTTAGTCTCCTCCACAACCAAATCATCTATGTTAAACTCCTTGCCCCACTCCGTGACAATTTTTGCTTCAATGTGACTAGCACCCTCATCCATCTGTTCAGGTGGAGCTGTGTAGTAGGTGATCTTCCCACTGGTTGGACAAATACAGAGGTGAGAGCTTCAACAACAAAGCCAACATTTTGATACCAGAAATATTAAACACTATTGGAATCTCCATGTCAAATAGAGACAAAAATGACATTCATCTTTTGACAAATTTTGAAGGGTTAGTCCACCCAGATTTTCTTCACTATTAAGTAGAATTACAGCAGTCATTTTTAAAACAAATATACCTATGCAGTTTGACCATGTGTAATTTACCCATAAGCAGTTTGTCAATGTTTATTTTGCCTGCTGCTGTTTGTCAATATGAATTGTACATGGTATGTGAATTGTACACAGTATGTGAATTGTACACAGTCTGTGAATTGTACATAGTTCATCAATGTGTATGTTACCTGTTCCAGTCTTGCAGCATTCCCCTAGCTGCTCTGTTGACATCTGGGATTCCACCCTTCTTAAGTTTTCCCATTCTTTTAGCTAACAAAGTGAGAAACTCATTGGCATCACTGTAGTCTGGAATATTGTAGTGTAACTTCATCTGGATAAGGGGGATTCAAGGTAAAAGTGACATGGGAGATAAAGAAGATAAAAAAAGAAATCTGTTAATGTTACATTTTGAGGAAAAGTAACTTAGTAACCTAACTAACATTCTTAACATTTTTTAAATCAATGGAATTGAGATCAATGAAAAATTATGTAATCTACTTGTATTAATACTATTTAAGAGAAAATACCTGTATCTTTTGACACCTAGATAAAATTGCTTCTACACATGGAATAGGATCGTCTAGAGACTCAAGCTAAAAAGATCAGGAAAATGAAAAAGTTCATAATTTGTGGTCCTACACCAGGAAAAAACAGTTCTTTTCATAAAAATAGATTTTCATCTATAAGTGTCTTCAAAGAAGCAAACTAACCTTGACAACATTTCTTAAGACTGCGGCAACATCTGAAGGACTGTTGACCATGACAACACCAGGACTATCTAACAACTTTATGTGCTTGTCCAGGTGAACTGTTTGCATGGTTCTGTAATATTTACAACTCAATTATCTCAAGGGCCTTTTACCTTCATACTAGCAATCACCATAAGGTTTTGAGAGTTTTAAAACAAATTTAAGATCTGCAGCTTCCATATTTGAACATTTAATAGTTGAAATATTACAAGCAAAAGATTTTCAAAAAGAGGCTGTGTATAACAACATTTTTATTGTGAATTAAATGGAATAGACCAACCCATACAGCTGAGTGGGCAACTACTACTCTGTTAAAGTAGAATAGAATAAATAGCAATAGTACCGCAAATAAGTTTAGTGCCTATCACATTCTATCCACATCATACTAGTTTTGTGCCCTATTCTATAGCAGGGGAATTAAAAATAAACAAAATTATCATCTTTTAGTCATACTTACCTAGTAATACCAGGAATAGCTCCAACTTCACATGCTTTTGCTCTTTTTAAGCTGTTAATTATGCTGCTTTTACCAGTGTTTGGAAAACCTTTAAAAAAGAGAATTTTATATTTTAGTCATGTTACTTTTAACTAAATGACAATTAAGTATGTGAGAAAGTATCACAATCGACAAGCAACCCAAACTTCCATAGAAAATATAACACATCTTACCAACAACTCCAACATTTATTGCAATCTCTGTACTGCGGCAGTAGTTGCGCAACAATTTCATTAAAACATCAGCACCGAGACAGTTACTAGACTTGAGGAGATCATCACTAGCCAAAGTATAGTCAACTTTTGTCTGGGTCTACATATTGACAAAAACAATTAACTTTATGAAAAATAATATTTGTGTGAAGAAGAATACTTAAAAATTACAATACAACGTAAAACTTAAAAAACAAAACAAACAGCAGTTCTTACCAGACGATCTCTCTGTTGTTGAGTTGAAGCTTTGAAGGCAATAGCTGGTAATTCTTTCCTGAGGTGTTTGAGCCACGCCTCTACTATTTCTTTTGGGACAAGATCTGGAGAAACATTAAGTTTAGTTAGTAATATGACAATTCTTTAATAAAAGTAAAGTTAGATTTTAGAACACTCCTTTATTTAACTCACCAATCTTGTTTAAAACTAAAACAAGCCTTTTATTTCCCGGTGCTGATCTGACTGCCTCTTCTACCTCAAGACATCTACTCCCAAGTGGATCCCTGGCATCCAGCACTTCCAGAATCACATCAGCTGCATCAATGACCTGATATTATAAAACTTTTTAAACCAATGCGGAAATCATAGACTTATTTATGCAAAATGTAAGGAAGAAATAATAAAAACATACCCCCCTCACACACACAATTATAGGGCAAAGGTGTTGTTAAACAAGTGCTATCAAACTAAAAAATGTATTTATCAAATTTATCATTTAGCATCTTCACCAGCAAAAACTTTTGCGACAGTAAACTAACCTTTTTAAACTCTTTGTAGAAAGTTTTTCTGGAATTTTCAATAACCTTGTTAGCACTAGTAAGTTCTTCGTGATTTCCACCATCATGATTCTGTAAAAAAAATATTTAAAAAAAATCCCTGATAAAGAAACTAAAACTTGACAGTCAGTCTCAATTATTAGGGCAATTGCAAACTCTACAAACCTTTCTGTCATACGCTGCTTGGCGTTTCTCAGCATCTTTTACTATGTCACCAAGATTTCTGTTCTGGTTTTGGAGCTTCTCTCTAGCCTTCTTCCGTGCAACTTTTTTCTTTTCTTTCTCTAGCTCTAGCTGGGATGCAAGTCATAAATTATTGCCAAATTTTTACACTAGGTGACTACTTTACAGAAGAACTAATATGACAGTTTTTCTGAGAACATATTTTAATAATAATTGATAAAATACTAAATGTTTTTAAATATACAAGACACTGAGAGTTGAAAATACTTATGTAGGATTTTTATAATTGAATCAAGCGATGACTTTTAACTAATTAAAACATTATAGTAACATCAACTAATTTCTTTGCAAACCTTGTGTTTATAAGCTTGGGCTTCTTTTAAAACTTCTTCCCTAAATGGCAAAATATTTGGAATACCAGGATCCTTTCTCTTGCCTGTTAAAATTTAAAAATACATTGCCACATTTCCAAAATGAATATAATTGGTAAAGCATTTACTTTTTAACCCTTTCAGCCCACCATACAGCTTTTTCTGTCAGTGTCTTAAATCACAGTGCCCAAGCAGACATATTTATCATTATGTGACAACTTACATTTGACCATATCATGTGTATTATTTGTACTTTACAATGAAAAAATGGTTTTAAACTCCAATAATCAGCATTCTATCTATGACCATACTTTACTGTCTAATAGAAGGGTTTATCTTCTGGGCAGAAGGTATACTAAACAGAAGTACTGTCAATGAATATGTGTACATATGTTCATTAGAATAATAAAATCAAGCTTGTTTTTATATTCATAGTCTTCATTTTTACTTTCTCGTATATACGTAGTATAGAGAAAGTATTGTAATCGTGCAAAAAAAGAAAAAATCGAGATTTTTACAAATCTCGACGTTTTACACCTCACTGATACGGAAGAACATAATTTTGCAATCTTGTCCGTATGTCTGTGTGTAAACACGATAACTTGAGTACCGTTACAGCTAGGTTGATGAAATTTCATATATAAGTATTTTATCAAAATCGTAGATCCGTATCAACTTTTAAGCGATTTCCGATAACCGGAAGTGGTACTTTTCCTACTTTGAATTTTTCAAAAGCCTATAACTTGAGTACTATTTCAGATAGATAAATGAAATTTCACATGTAAGTATAAGATCTAATTCTCTACCTTCTGTTAAATTTTGAGTAATTTCCGTTGACGGGAAGTACTAATTTACGCTATTTCCGATTTCTCAAAAACGCATCTAAATTTATAAAGTACTAATATTATTGCGCACCATTATGAACATCTTTATTCGGCGTTCGCTTGGTGTGCAATACTTTTTTCTATGAGATTCTATTTTATTTTAAAAAGTTTATGTATTTAAAATTGATTAAAAATCATAACTATATCCCGAGTTCCCATCCCCTGTTGTTTTATATAAGAATATTCGAGAAAGTTTAGGGGAGATCACTCCCGGTTTATTTATTGAGTCTTTTGTGAGTACATTTTCCTCAAGAGCCCAGTGGAACATGTATTTCAGGGTCAGGAGCTAAGGGCTCAAATGGTTATTACAAATCCAGTAGAGTACTCACCCTTCTTCGGATTTAGCTTCTCCTCTTTCCTTAATTTTCTTTTATGTTCTCTAACCTGGATGAAAAAATCTTTGAATTAAAAAACTATAACATTTGTAGAAGCTTTTTTCTAGACCTATACTTTTCAGTTTAATCTTTATAACACAGAAAAACAATATTAAAACAAATATCAGTTTTAGTAAGACAGTACCTTTCTTTCAACCTTAACTCTGTGTTTGGTGGACTGACGCTTACTTTTTTTGGCTGTAGAAAAAAAATACACATGAGTATCTATATACTACTAAAAGTCAAGTTTGTTTACATGTTTGAATATTTATTTTTTTGTTTGTTTTTTTGTTTGTTTGTTTGTTTGCCTGATCAACTATTGTGATATGTTCGACTCAATCTGGATAGCTGTAAAATAGTATGTAGGTAGAGAATAATTTTTTAATGCAGACAGACTGTTAATCACAAATTTATTTAAAGACGTTAATTAATTTATTGATTTATTCATAGTAAATTAACCGTATTTTTTAAAAAATGTTAATACTTTGAATAAACTTTGTGGGGATAGTGACGTCCCTTGATATGTTAACTTTTTGGTACGATAAAAATGGCGGACTCCATCATAGACTTTGTGGCCCATTCAAAAGTTTAACGCGTTACAAAGCTAATTTTCTGCCGGCTATAACTTAAACAATACGTCCGTTTGCTGTATTTATTACGTTCCAACACTTATATCAATTTTCAACTATCTTTTTCATTTAGTTTTACGATAAATTTCTCTAGATCTAAAGATCAGCTATCGAAGGAAATTTATGAATCTAGCCTAGATCTAGATCTAGCCTAGATGTAGGTCACTAGATTCAATGTAAATTCTAGATCTAGACTTAATGTAAATTCTACATCTAGAATCTATTTCAGGCCTTAATTATTTTATATAAATCTTTGTTTGGCTTATTTAAGATAAAATTTAATTTGAAAGTTAGTACTACTAGACTTATTTTTAGATCTAGAATCTATACGCGTAAATCAAGTTGCATAAGGAGACACATAGTATAGTATAAAAATTCACTTGTGACGTCACGAGTAAATAGCTAAAATGGTAGCGTAGTCAGCTCTCATGCAGGAGGCACGGGTTCTAGACCAATGTGTCAATGAAATTTTTTTTTTTCAATTTTTTTTTTTTTAGATGTGAATGATAACGTTGCCTATCTGAACTTGGCAAGATACAGGGCAGGTGAAGTAGAGTTCATCTGTTTCTTTGTCCTAAGCATATGAAAGGATAGTGTGGTCAGATACATGCTCGGCTGGAATTGTTTTTTAAACGATAAAAACATGTTGTCTGAGACTTGGCAGGACACTGGGTAGGTGAAGTAGAGTTGAGTAGGTCACCTGTGACGTCAGTTTATGAAGGGATAGTCCGAAATCGGTGTTTTTAAAAGATAAAAAACATATATTTGAATGTGGGGTCTGTTTTTTGTGACGATAAGTGACACTGCAGTAGCGTACCGAGGAGGGGGACGGGACGGTAGGGGAGGGGAGGCGGGGGGTGGGGAGGCGGGGGGGGGGGGGGGGGGAAGGGGAGGCGGGGGGTGGGGAGGTGGAGGGGGGAAGGGGGGGGGCGGGGGGGGGGACATATGTTGGGGCGCCAAAATGGTTTGGAAAAATAAATTGATAGGTTGAGGGGGTTCAAATCGAAAGTTTGAGTGGGGGGGGGGGGGGGGGGGTGCACATCAAAAGTTTGAGGGGGGGGTTCAAATCGAAAACTTTGTCCCCGGGCGCCGGGAAGGGTCGCTATGCCTCTGAGTGACAGACGTGATGTTTTTTGATGGATGACCCCCGAAACCCACAGTTATCCAACGGATGACGGGTATTCTAGTTAGATTTAAAGTTGGAAGCATTTTAAAAATTGGAAGCCTATGATATAGGAAATTATTGAAACACAAATAGAGGTTTAGTATTGACATCAAACACTGGCTATGAACAGACCATCTATAATTCATTTTCTACCATGCATGAAACAAACCTTTAAGATGAAGAAGAAGGCAGAGAGTTGGATGAGTTTATATAATAAATTGTCATGTCATTTATGGACAACACTACATTTCCTCAATCTATATTTTGCGGATTTTATTAAATAGAGTTTTGATCTGGTTATGATATTTGACACAAACATATGACAATATACTTCTATTAAAGCCTTGACAATGAGGTAATGTTTTCGTACATTATTTCATTTATAGCCGCGGGCGATTTTATATAGAGTAAAGTTCCACGCGCGGTCACACATAGCGGAAAATTCCAAATTCCCGATTTTCATCGGGCGCTATTTTATAACCGTTTCACACAGAAACAAACCGAAAGCACTGTATTACTCCGCTGCCATTATACTGTAATATGTATGAGTCATTTTGTATTCCTACGCATAGTATTTAAGATATTCATGTTTTAGTGACGTCCCTCCTTGCGATATTTTTTTTCCCTTTTTTTTTGCCTGCGTACGCAAGAACCTGCTTGCCAACGAGCGTATTGTATACATTTTGATCCAATTTTAATAATTGAAATAAATATTTTACACACTTAAACGTGTTGTTGATTGTATTATTAATTAATAGATTGCAAAAATAATAATTAAAAACATGTTAATTAAATTAATTAAAGACATTAAAAGTTGACCCAGTGATGACTCAAGGGACGCAACTATAATAATCATAACAAAGGGACGTAACAACCACTAAAAGACATAACGTAACATTTGCTTAGATATGCTTGTATGTAGAGACACAAACTAGATTTAGAAGAAGTAGATGATCGAAATAATTTAAAACAGCAGAAAAAAATAGAAAGTATACAGATTCTAGGCTTAGTTTGAAATATAGAGCATCTAGAACTAGGCTAGTCTAGCTCAAGTCGTTGGTTACGCAGCGATGTGAAACCACCGTAATCGACACCCAAGCTGCGGCCACCCCTATTTACCTATCAGGTTGCTTTATTAGCCTTATCTATCGTATGTACAGTGTCCCGCATATATTGTAGAAGCTATTTATAGTTAACCTAGTTATAAAAAGCTTTGATTGGTTGGTTTTATTCATCTCATCCGGGACCTAGTGTTTTTCATAGGGGGAACTAGAACCGCCTACGACGTCATACCTCGAAACTTTAAAATTTAAAAACTCGACTTCCAGAAGGAGAAAAACAAAAGAATTTGACCTGGATATATTCAGAAATGGACAGGTTTACAGCAGATATCGGTAGTTTCGTATAAAACATCAAAACAAATATTGTACGAAGCGATAAACAGGCGATGATCGCACCGGTGTTTTAACCGCGCGTGGAACTTTACTCTAGGCCTACCCAAAATGATAGATTACCAAGGCCAAATCCCACGAACACCCCTTTTTTTTTACTGTTTTTTACTGATGTACAATTCCACAATAATAAAGGACACTTTATCGTAGGCATTTCGATGTCCGCCATTTTGTTTAATCTGGCCACATCCGAAATTTTTCAAGCCAACTTTTGTAATTTCGGCCATTTTCCATCCAAGTGCTTAGTTATCATGAGAGAATCGATAAATTAATGTATTCGATACGTCAAAGTGGGCTGTTTTTATATTCTATGTTTGTATGGAAAACTATTAGTTACATTTTAACATATCGATCCCAATTTTATCGAGGTATCTTAGCGAGCACGTCTCATTAAACGCAGTAACCGACTTCTTTCAATTAGTATTAATTTTAGCAAGAAAGTAAAGTATAATAAGCTAGACATTAGTTGTAATGAGCATCCTAACCATTCTCAAGAACAAAAATAACAGTTTCATAGAGTTCTTTTCATTGGAACATGCTTAAAAAGCATTGGTAAATCTTGGGGGGGGGGGTCCCGCTGACACAATTTTTTAACAGGGCGATAGGGGCCGCGAGGTTACCTATTATCGATAGAACCAAATTTCGGCATTTAAAAAAGAGATAAGTTCAGGAAACTAGATCTAGTAAATAAGTAATGCCAAACTATTTTGATGGGTGGAAATGTTGGTTTTATGGGGCTTTTTAGCTCTTTATAACCAGATATTGCTTCTTGCGTGAAGTGAAGGGGATCTACGCAATTTTAATAATGACGGCCGAGTTTAAATTTTTATGACGGTCCATAGACCATATGCATGAAATATAAAAAATCGCACATTTGATATTACTGTTTAACACTATTCATTGAATTGGCAAGATTTTAGCTTATAGAATGTTTTTTATGGATTAAATAAAATTTAAAGCAATGGAATTAATAGTCCCATTCATTAATAATCTTCCATATTAGTCATTTTCAATTGGGTAATAATAATAGGCCTAATTAAAATTTTAAATAGTAATAAATAGGCCCTTATAAATATTAGGCCCCTATAGAATAGATTTAGATCTATGTATTTTAATGAGCAATTGCTTATAAGAATCTAATAGAACTAATATTTATTGCATCAAGCTTAAATATATAATTATGTTGTAAAATTACTTATGGATGATGTCTAAACTTTAGTTACCCCGTTTCAGGAAAAACTGATTAAGAAAATAATTACAAAGATTAAATTGGTCATTTCTCAGATTATAGTATATTATCTTTAAAATTTAATAATAGCTAAAATATACTACTAGATCTATAGAGGCATGGAAAGTAAAATAAATGAAGTCAAAGATAAAATAGAAACATTAACACTTCACTTTAATAATGTAATCTAAAGCAACAGTGATAGATACATTTTTTTAAAAGTCAAAAAGAAAACAGAAACAGTAACACTTTGAACAATGTGACTTAATTTTATAACTTAAACTAAGCAACAGTAATTTTTTTTAAACAGTAGGTTCAGATCAGCAAATAAGGCAGCTGTCTATCCTTCGGTTGCGACACATCTCATCTAGTTTCTGTAGGCTGTCTATTGATTAACCATCCTTGGCTACTTATTAAAAGTAGCCTATAACTAATGCTACTAATATTTAGATATTTCAACATAATCCTAACCATATCATATTCCAGTATGAGTATAATACACAGGTATTATTGATACAAGATTTCAGTGCCACCCCCATTAATTAGACTTTATTAAATGTGATTGTCTTTTTCTCCTAGCATTTTTTTGACTTGTAAATTTCTATTCCCAACATCCTTAAGCATCTATGTGCTAAGTTTTATCTTTGTATCATCGATAGCAACATAGATATTCAGTATGAAAAGTGACTTGTGGCAATCATAGTAGAACGGCACCGCACTCCTTAATTGGGCTTTATTAAGTTAATTATTAGTTGTTTTCCTTTTAATTAAGCTGTATTTCACTTGCATATTCCTGTTGCCTGTACTCCCTAGCACCAATATGCAAAGTATTATCAATATATCTTTATTAACAACAGAGTTGTGCAGTTTGACAATAGACTAACGTTGCTCTCTATATAAAAACGCCATGACCCTTAATTAGTCTTAATTATTTTTGGTTTTCCCTTTACTGATCTTTATTTCAATTGCATATTCCTGTTGCCTGCACTCTCTAGTATCAATATGCAAAGTTTTATCATTACATGTTAAAAAATAACAACGCTATATGAACTCAAAGAAGGACACCAAGTATTTTGCAACTTTACAATAAAATATAAGCTGCTTAACATACAACTTTAAAAATTCATAAAAAAAAAACTACTGGGCCTACAGTGATAAATTTAGTGGTTTATTAAATGGCAGTTTATGGCCTTCAATATTATGTAGTTAGTCTCATAAAAATTCAATTTTCTTCAAATTATAAAAAGAATAGCATATAATTGTAGAGCTTTAAAAATGCAATCCAACAGTACCAATTTTATTAATTTAGCATAATCGGTTGATTAAATATAATTTTTTTAGTGTCGCAAATAAAATATATAGAAACGCGACCAAAAACGCAGGTAAAAAGTCAAATTCACTTGTTTTAAAGCTAGTAAGCAAGAAAAGACATGATTCTTTCTTACTATTGAAATCAGTTTGCTTATACCTACATTTTTTTTACACCAAGGTGAAAGTAAATAGTTTATATAAATTTATAAAATGCCATTTATATAATTTATTGTATGTTTTATGATGAATTTTCAATTGGAAAATACCGCATTTGGAAGCAGAAAGGTAAATTCTACAGAACAGATGTTGTTTGGAATGTTATAGATTATTGATCTAGGCCTATATCAAAATGTTTGTTTAAAAAAATTCAATTAGAGTCCATCCATTTCTGATGGGTACCTGATATACATTGGGGAAATTAAAGGTAAAAAGTAAAGGCGGCTGTGAATATCGCTGACCACACGGACAATCACTTCATATGCCGAGGTCAAGAAAGATGAACTCTACTTCATCTGCCAAATAGATTGCTTTGTCTACAGAGGAATCTTAATTAATGTTTACAGGGGCCTAATAAAATTGAGTTATGTTTGTAAAAACATTAGGCCTAAGCTTTAAAAACTTATTTTGGTCAATATCGGAAAAAATAAAAATCTTTTCGAATAAATGGGTTGAAAAAAGCTTTGAATTTGTTTCATTGTTTGTTATTACATCTTGTAGTATTTGGAATTGAAGCTTTCTTTCTTAATTACAAGTTGTATTAATTTCAAACCTTAATGTAATTTCTTTTTAATTCAGTATTAGCCTAAATGTAAGGTAGGCTACAGAATTCAGATATTACCTATGGTTTTGTGATTTTTTTATATGTTTATAACATTTGTGTTTATGAAATGACCTAATGAAGTTATCAAGCAAACTGTTTTATTATTATTTTAATATGCCTGCAAGTTATAAGTACAAAATATAGATATCTAATCACTAGATCTAGGTCTAAGTTAAAGAAAAAACTACCTAAAGGGTTTGAAATACTTAAATATAGTACTAAAAGTAGCTATGTTTTGAAAAAAAAATATCTTAAACTGGAGACATTCAATTTAAAAGTCATTATAAAAACTCCACGATCTAGATTTATTTCTAGATCTCTAGTAGGAATACAGATTTAGAGGCTTTCCCATCAGTATCAATGTACTATCTTAGCTATGTGGGAGGTCAGTACGAGTTCACTGGGGAAAAAATCGGAACTGCCGTAGGGGGGTGGGTTTAGTGCGCAAATGCTCCTGACCGATTGCCAAAAGGTACAGAAATTCTAAAGATACATTTTAAAAGAAAAATGGACGGCTGAACTGCAGTTATCAAAATATCTGTGTAAGTAGAAGTATAAATAATAATATTTTACACAAATATAGCTGTCTTTTGCTAAATCTAGCTCAATTTCCACGAAAATCGCATCCGGTCGCAATAATTTTTATATCAGCTTGTCGGCCATTCAACGATCTATCACGTGTAGCAGACGCCAAACAGATTTACCCGTATGGTATTGCGCGAATGCTATTTTTAGCAACAGTGCCGAGACGCGATAGAAAAAAACGAACTAGAAAGTGGCCATAAAAAAGCGGGTCAGGGGAGGTAATTCAACTCGCGTTATGAGACTAGCTATATTATGTGTGTTTTATCATTCTGAGATAATTAGGCAAAATTTACCAAAATGCCTACTTTATCGTGATTTTACCAACTATTCTAAATGAACTAATGTACTTTGTTCGCAAGAGTAAATTAATAATCTGGTCATCTTCTCATAATGACTCATAACTAACTCAGACTCACGGTGAGAGAACGGCACGGCATAAAAAAAAAAAAAAGATAATGATGCAGAGTCCAGACTCTGTATTGAGTGAAATTATTAAACTGAACATCTCTACTTACTTATTTTAACCATTTTTAAATATAATTATAATTTGGATCTTGATCTAGATAGAGATCTAGAGATCTAGATCTATAATTTAGAACTGTGCGGTAGTAGATTTACAAAATATTTCAGTTTTCAGTAACACATGTGTTAGGCTAAATAGCTAGATCTATGTCGTTTATTTTCCGGTTCGGATTTTAGAATTGTTCGAAAACATTCTCTAACTACCAAAATACAGCAAAAGTTGTTAGACCAAAAAAGCACCGACTTGTGTAAAAGGCAGTCATAATACAAAAAGACGTACATTTCATACTACAGAGATTAGTTTAGAACCCTAAAACTATCTGTTAAAGCTTGAATAGTGCCCCCCTCTTGTATTTTTCTGATCAATAAAATCAACTGATTGGAATAAGTGTAACTTATAATTTACAAATATTATGGTTCTAATTTATATTTGAATTGAGATAACAATATGGAGTCATCCAGAACCAAACTGTCGTCATAAAAAAACTAGACCCCTTCCCAAGCTATCTATGCACCCCTTACCAGAGTTTATTCCAGACATCTCTTCGGTGGGGCATTGAAATTCTACCGCCCCGCCCCCCCCCCAGTGTTTCTTCCAGACTTTTTTCTCCAGGGGGGCACTTGAAATTTTCGGGGGGGGGGGGGGGGGGGGTGGGCGGTAGACTTTCTTCGGGGAAGCGGACACTGTTAAAAGTATATATTTTCTATATAAATTATATACATTTCATTTCGTTCGGGGGGGGGGGGCGGTAAAATTTTTTCGAAGAGATGCCTGGAAGAAACTCTCCCCCCCCCTACCGAACGAATGAAATTTATATAGAAAACATATACTTTTACCAGTGTCCGCCCCCCCCCCGGAAAATGTTGACCTCTTCCCCCGAAAATATCAAGTGCCCCCCCCCCCCCCGGAGAAAAAAGTCTGGAAGAAACACTGCCCCTTATAACTTACAAGAGCCATTTGTAACAAATTATAGCAAGATCCCCCACCCCCCCACCCCAATGCACCGGCTGCCTAGGCTGTTTATTTCAAGCATTTGTAGAGAGGGTCAGACACCTGGAACACGGCCGCCACCCCCCCCCTCCACCCCCGAAAAAAAGTATAATTCATTTGGAAAATATATACTTTAGCCATTTTCGGTCCCCATTAAACATTAATTTAAGGTGCTACACGTAAAACTAGTCTCTACGTCATACATTAACCTACATCAGATTTCACCACCTCGGGACAAAATAGAAGAAAAAATACTAAAACCAGTGTCCTTTTGAAAATTTAAGCCCCCACCTCACCTCCAGCAGTATTAAATGTCCCCTCCCCCCTCCCCCCCCCCTTCGAAGAATTATAGCTGAAAGATACCCAGTCTGCGGGGCACATCGTCGCGAAAGTTTTTTTCACCCTTCAGTCGAAATTATGTTAAGTGGGTAATTTGGTCAATGGTCGTCAGTGCCGATTAGTCTTATTAGTAATATAATACGTGATAAGGTAGGGTGCAGTTTTTTCTAGATCTGGGCAAGTTTGAATTGATACACTTTTATTTTTCTTTATTTCTTGTCATTTGGTCTAACTATTGTGTTGATTTTAAGTAAGAGTTACTACAGCAGCTTCCTGTGTCATAATTTTATCGTGTGACTTAAGTGTAAACAAACGATAAGGAAACGAGTCCAGTGGGCAGTCAGGCCATCAATTCGTCTTCGACATGGAAAAATCCTTAGAAAAGCAGCTGGAAGAAGCGTATGTCAATTTCTTATTCTATAGAGGAGCTTACACTTTTCGGACACACATAGCGAAAAAACGCAACGTAAAAATTCCATGCGGTCTCATTCAGTAACCGCTTAACATAGAAAACAAAAAAAAAAGTATCATATCTATCCGCAACCATTCTACTTTAATAATGTGTGTGTCATTTTGTATTCATACGCATAGAACTTAAGCTATTCTTGTTATAGTGACTGGGGGGTCTTAACGTGTGTTCGAACACATGTAATACAGTTTTACATGTGTTCGGACACCTTTACCCGTCATCGGACATAGCACTTTTTGTTCATTTAGAATAATTTAAAGTCAATTTAATGAATAAAAACATATATTATATGCATGTATATTGTGTTATTGATTGTTTGTGAGGTAATTTTAATAGTATAAAACCTTTTTCCCACACTCCCAAAGTTCATCCCATTCAGCCATTGCGGCTCGCGCAGTACGCTGCTAAGCCAGCCAGGTCACATGATTCCCCCTCCTCTTTCGCATTCTACTGCCTTCTTGACCTTATTTTGACCCTTTCCCTTCAATAACCAGCCCGTTTTATGCTCTAAATTCTTATTTAGTAATATTTTAGTGTTGCTGTCCGCTCCCATGTAAGGCCAAATAAGTTAGCGAACACCCCTTTTTTATTGTTCAAGCACAAAAAAAACCCATTAACCTTGACATTTACGATGTTCCATACATATATAGAAGCTATTTATAGTGTAACCTTTTAGCTAAGCATTGATTGGTTCAAGTTTTGCCCCTAAGTCCAACCCTAGGTCACTTCATCCGGCTGGTGTAAAAATAGAAATGTGCGTACCATGCAACGTTAAAAAATTTCTAAAAATAATTCTTGAGAAAGGAAACGGAAGTACTTGACACGGAAGTGTTCATAAATGAACAGTTTACGTGCAGGCGCCGTGGTTTCGCGTGAGACATGCTAATTAAAGTTTCTATGAGCCAAAAACCGACGAAGTGTTCGCTCCTACGTAATTTTTGGTGTGTGTCCGAAAAGTGTAAACTCCTCTAGATATTAGATAGGCCTACCTGGTAAAATCTTAGTTTAGCGTCGTAAATTCGGCCAAAACTAGTAATGTAGGAGAGAGTGCAATAATGAATATGTCATTAAATATGAGTATATTTTCGTATATTTTGGTAAAATATTATAAATAATTGAATAATAGATCACAATTTATGGTTAAATCAATTTAAATATCCTGAAATTAATTTTTATCAACCCTGTTCGAGATAGTAAATTTGCTATTAAAAACAGCAGCCATCTTAAGAAAATGTTATTTATAGTAGCTTCCCTTTCATTTCTATTCGTATGAAAATGTAATTAAATATGATTGTCTTGTTGTATAGTCCGTATAACAAAGCATTTTTTTTTTTTTACATTCTGCTCTTTAAAAACTGAATGTCCTAAGAAACAACTTTATTAATTCTAGAAGCATTGTGAGATGCAACTTGTATCCATGTTTTAAATCACGTTTTTTTTTTCTAATGTTTATTTGATCTTACTATTACTATATAGTTAGAGTTTTTAGCGCAATTTCCATTCTGGAGAATTGCGTTTATTAACTCGTCATTTCTGGGAATGGATGGATGAATGTATGGATGAATGTGTGTCCGGGCTTTAAGTCGTATCTCCTCCTCAACGAAGCAATATCGATGACTAGTTCCAAAAGCAATTATGTTAAACAAGTTACGAGAAGCATAGGCCATAAAAATTCCGGGTTTCTTTCATGTATTTCCCGGAAAAGCCAAAAAACCTCGAAAAAATGCAGTTTTTGGCCCATATCTCGGCAACCAGACCACTTAGCGACTTGAAACATGTACCAATCGATTCCTGCCATAATTTAGAACAATATTGCCGAAGAAAGTTTTCAAAAATATCCTCTCGTTCGGTCACAAATTTTAAAATTACATAAACACCTACAAACCGATCGTTCTTCTAGCTTGAACGCACCCCAGCAATTTACGTCAGAGCTATTTTTAGATAACATAAGGAAATTGCGCATAAATGTCACTAGACTTTTTTAATTAACTTGTTTCTTATTGTTTGAATGTTCACTATTTTCATTTCAGGTTTTTCTTTTCATCAGTTAGATCTAGTGATTCTATCGTAACTTATGACATTTTTTTTACTTCTCTTTACCTTAATTAAACCCCAACCTCCGTCATATTTTTGTTGTCAATGTCACAACAAGTCATAAGGGGGCATCCCTAAATGACGTCACACTCGTAGGGGGGAGGGGGGGGGTCCGTAATTTTGTGACGATGTGCGATGAGGGGGAGGGGGGGTTCAGATGTTGCGACGTCACATTTTTGCATTATAAAAAAGCAATGTTAGAAAACGAATTTTAGACGTTATTTCGCGTTTTAGATAACTGTTTTAATAAATTGTAATAGTTTAGACAAGATTTTGGAAAAATATCGATGTTTTTAAAAAATTCAACTGCAATTTTGAGGGGGGTTGTAGGTTGAGGTGTGACGTCATTTTAGGGGGGGTCTGGCTTTTTGTGACGACGTGTGACGGAGGGGAGTGGGGGGGGGTAAAAATCGTCAAAAAAGCTTGATGTCATTTATGGATGACCCCTAATGTAAAAAATTACGCTTTGCTCTGCCTTATCTAAGATCTCTAGCCATAATTTTGACAACATTAAATGTTTGTCATCATTTATATATACAGAGAGACAAAATGTATTATCCACCAGCTTCCCTCGTAAAGCATCATCTAAAATAATCAGCCACTCCACCCCTTAAGTGCGGGTTGTCATTATGGTCGATCGCAAGTCTCCACCTGTCAGACACATTTTGGTTATCCTTTGTTGTCAAAATGTCAAAATCAAATGCCCAAATAAGTGATATGGGATTGTCCATAAATGATGTCACATATGATTTGCTACGGGAGTGAGTGAAGATTTGTGACGTCAACTCAGGCGGCTTTGCAATTTATGACGTGTCGGTCTCATGAAAGGAGGTGAACGGGGAAAAATACCTATGTGGTTGATGGAGAACCTCTATAATGCTTTGTTCAATCAAAATAACGATAAATAAGCATTAGCATACGTATACCTTGCTTAAAACGAATTATCATAAATGTTGCAAGTCTGCTAGTTTAAGACATTAGGCAAAACGGCCTTAACTTAACACATTATCCCCGTCAAACAGGCTTGCCACCAAATGCTTGCCGACGAATAAGCCGCGTCTAATGCGGGGCGTTAGGAATACGGCCATTAGCATGGGCCGCGTTAGAGCACCAGTAGGCTATCGCGCTTTGTAAGATGACGTAAATACTTAAATTCAATTTCGCTAAACTGCGCGAAAATTTAGTAATGTTACATCGTTTGAGGAAATTTATTTTCTTGGACTTAAATTGAAATATCATGTTGACTGTCTGGCTCATAATTTCCGAATATCACTTTTAATGTATCAAGATTCAGAACTATAATTTACTTTAATATAAGTGTCATCTTATCGTTTATTGTGCTTTTTATAAAGCGCAGAGCAGCTACAAAATCGGACGGCCATCCTGTTTTCACCAAGCTTCTTTTGGAGCTTAATATGGGTAGTCTAGTTCTATACGGTGTGAGCTTAATACATTTTTAAAGGGCCGAAAGTCTCAAGACAGCAAGCTTGCAGAAATAACTACGTACGTTTAAATGGACGAGTGATAGATGTGTTAGGGGCTGTTTAATGAACACCAACTTATGTAATCAAACTAAACGTCGCAAAAGCGTAAAAAAGGCAGTGCTTGTTGTTTTTTTTTCTATAAAATTAGCCTAACGGTCGGCGGTACCGCTACATGACGTCACGTGCGAGCGTTAACTCGGTGACGATGAGCTAAGTGGGGGAATGAAAAAGGTAGGGTTCAAGAAATGCGACTCGGCAAGCTTTTTACATTTCTTGACCCTTCTTAATAGTTCTTTCGTCCCCACTGAGAAAATGGATCACCAATGAATGACGCGTCATACTTCTACAGCTGGTCTTTCTCCCACAACCATCCAGTTTTCACGAAAAAAAAACCTGACCCGTCTCCAAAATCACATCGCTGAGTTCTGCTCAACCTCTCCCCACCACAAACTCACAATTTCTATATGAAACAATATGTTCATATGTTTGCTCTGTAATAATGCACGCTGTCATTACTATCTTAAGAGCGACGTCATTTATGAGCGATCTAATATTGATTTGCTTACTGCAAATAAAGTGTTCAAAAGTTCGACCTCCCAACAATTGTTGTGGTCTTGGATGCACACTATTAAGTCTGATAAGGTCTATTAGTCATTCATGTCAACTATATTAAAAAAAAAGAAAAATTACTATACAGGGGGTCATCCATAAATGATGTCACGCTTTTTTTGACGATTTTACCCCCCCCCCCCTCCCCTCCGTCACACGTAGTCACAAAAAGCCAGACCCCCCCCCCTAAAATGACGTCACACCTCAGCCTACAACCCCCCCCCTCAAAATTGCAGTTGAATTGTTTTTAAACAGGTATATTTTTCCAAAATCTTGTCTGAACTCTGTCAAAATAGAGTTTTTTAATCAATTGTTATTACAATGTATTAAAACAGTTTTTTAAAACGCAAAATAACGTCTAAAATTCGTTTTGTAACATTGCTTTTTTAAAATGCAAAAGTGTGACGTCGCACCATCTGAACCCCTCCCCCTCATCACACAACGTCACAAAATTACGGACCCCCCTCCCCCCTACGAGTGTGACGTCATTTATGGACGACCCCCGGCATATATTAAAACAATACAAAACAATCATATTAAACCACAAAATCAACACAAAAGACATGCGAATAGACAATTTCTTGTTTTTAAAACATGGCCGCTGCTTGTATTTACTCATTGTTGTCTCGAACGGGGTAGTTTAAAGTTTATTCCAGGATATTTATGACTGGTTTGGTCTTGGATTGTGATTTGTTATTCAATTATCTGTTATATTATGTAAAATATGACATAAATATGGCCAAATGAAAGAAATATTCATTAGTTACCTTCATCGCACATTACTAGCTACGTTGGAATTTACGACGCTAAACTAAGATTTTACCGGCCTACCTAATTACTAATTAGTAATTTACAAAATACTAGGCTACGTTTAGCGCTGAAGAAGTGTAGCAAAAATAGCCGGTTTTAGGTACGTAAAATCGCCAGAGGCTAGTAATGTACGAAACAGTTACCTCATTGTCAAGGCTTTAATAGAAGTATTTTGTGATATATTTGTGTCGAATATTATAGATAAATGAATAATAAAACTAAATCAATGGCTAAATATATAAATATGGGCCAGAAATTAACTTTAAACAGCAGTGTTTGCGAGCAGGATTTGCTATATATTATAAAAAGCGGCCATCTGTAAGTTAGAGTGGCTTCCCCTGAATCTTGCGCTAAAAGTTTACAATAAAAAAAAATAAACAAGATGGCTGCTATAGATCTAGTAAATGTCAGTAAATGAGTATGGTTGCATCTGTTGGATTACTGAAAATTTTTTAATTCAGTTTTTTAAAAACAGGTACATATATCAAACAAGGAAACATTTTTACATTTTTTAAAACATAAATCCTCCTCAAAATGTGAAATAATTATTAAAATTTAAGGAGTCACCTGTTTTTCACATTACTAATCGCGGGCGATTTTACGTTCCTAAAACGATAGATTACCCAAAAATAATGTAGGCTGGCCTAACCTAACTAACTATAGCCACTAACCACTAAGACTATAGGCCTACCTATTAATTAGTATTCATTAAGGCCCTTAATTATTAAGGGTAAAGCTATTATTATATTAAATATTGTAGGCTTAGGCTTATTAGAAATGAATATCTGACCCTATAAAATAGCTACTAAGTAACCAAGACTGTGAGTGTAAGTCGTGTAAGATATTTAATCCTAAAGTGTGCTTGAAATTTATTTTGCAAATCATCTGATCTTACTTCTGCAGACAATATTTTCCCTTTCTTCCCGGTTCCCCTTTCTGGTTTGATTTATTGATTATATTTTAATGGTGAAATTAAATAGGTTGAAACAAATGGCCTATCTGTAATTGTTAACAACACTTTTTTCATCGTAGATTCCGCATGCCTGGTGTTTCTGGAATTGTATGTGTTGACAATAATGGACTTTGTCTTGGATGTAAGTATAACAACAGACATTACACGGGAAGGCAAACTAAGTCTTAGCCATTTTGAAAATTTGTGTTTATTTATTAAAGTTCTGTAAGTAAAAATAAGGTAGAGATTATCACACATAGGTTTAGTCCTTCAGCCTGTATCACTTTAAGGTCTGAGATGGGGATGCAAGACAAAATAGTTTTATTATGCCGTATCAGCATTCTTGCCATAATAATTAATGTTTGGTCAGCAAAGTATTGTCTTTAAATAACTTTTTAAAATCTTTTAGCCAAAGGTACAGTCCCCAAACAGTCGTGCGGGTCATTGAGTGCTCTAACCCAACAAGCTTCTAAGCTGTCAACTGGTGCCAACGGCCCAACACCTGTCATCTGTTTGGAATCTGAGCATGGGTAACCTCCCTTACATCAGTTTAAAAATATATTTTTTGAATTTATTGTAACATATTTAGACTATTCTTAAATTTAATTTGTTGTAACATTTTAGACACATTTCAAAATTTAATTTGTCTGCTGCGATTCCCCTCCTTATTAAGCTGAGTAGTCCCAACACATTTTGATTGTTTGAATGCCAGTGAAACATAATTCTTTTTGTTTTATATAATACCTTAATTACACACAAATCAATGAGAAAAGTTGGAATTGGAATTCATAATCCTGTTACTAGTGTATATTTTTTAATTGTTTTGGTGTAAAAAAAAACAACTAAAGGTAATTTTAAAAAATTACTGTAGTTTTATATTAATTATTTGCTCAATGCTTTTTATTACTTAGAAATACCATTTATCAACATTATATTTTTTCCTCAACAGGACAGTCCTCATAAAGAAAACAGACAAGCTCACCACAGCCATCTTTAAAACTAGCTGATTTACCTCCCTTACCATGTAGAATTGTCTTTCTTGTTCATGTTTTATTGAACTTTTAATTTTTCTGCTGTGTATATAAAGCATGTTGCTTTAAAGTTAAAGAAACATAAAATATTACCTGTGTCAGCTATACATTATGATAAGTTATAGTTTTTTTTTTATTTCTGTATATAACTATGAAATGGATGCTTTGCATTTTAGTGCAATATCATACCTCTAGAAAATTAAGTATACAATAGTATTGTTCTGTAATTCATTTATCATGTTTGCTGTATTTGTATAAGGAGATAAGTTTGTATTTTAGCATGTTTTAATCAATAATCCAACCTTCCTCTGTGTTGTTTACCTCACCCATCACACCTTCATCCCACACAAAAAGTTGGTACTGGAATTCATACTCACATCACTGGTGTGTGTTGGAATGTTTTGGTGGGGGAAAAAACAAAAGATAATTGTGAAGTATGCACTTATTATTGTATGTATATATAGTTGTGTGTGTTAGTGGTATTTTATCAATGACTTTAAACAGAAGATAAAATACCGCAACAGTATTTAATTGATATGTATCAACTTTCAGTCTACAAGCAGTGACTGTTCTACTAGCTGTCAATGTTTAACCCCCCCCCCCCCCCTCCCTCATCAGAGTGATAACAGGTTTTTAAATCTAAACATTTTTAATCTTCAGAAAGAGAGATTTTGTATGTTTTGATCAGCCATGTTGTATGTGGAGAGAATGGTTGTACATATGAAACTTGATAGCATTTATAAATGGTAAATGTACGAGAAGATATGTTCATCTGTGTCTTTATTTTTTTATCAAATGAAAACAGTTTTTCAGATGTAATCTGTACATAAATTGAGATTTTAATAAATTCCATTGAAGTATTTTGAGGTTTATTTCTTCCTTGTATTTGGTTCAAGTTAAATATCTTTGACATGGCATAATTAATACACTGTTTAAATTATTTTATTTTAGAAGACACATTATTTTATACAATAATAAAATTATTTTAACAATAATTTAAAACATCCTGTGCATTCAAAGGAAACCATCCAATAAACTTTTAAATTAGATTAGATATTAAACAAGGCCAGATGCAACATCTGGATATTGGTAGATCAGTAAAGATAAATAAAAAAATTCCCGAGTTCGAACCCCCAGGCAGATGAAGCTAGATAGTTAGGGACAGCAACTCATCTAGGAGAGACAACTCCAAAATGAATCAACGGCTGCCTTGTTGTAGTTTGTTCTTGGATAGACAAAGGCTATAGAAGAAAATCAGGCTGAAATCGGAGTCAACGTCCTATATGGCGCACAAAAAGTTGACACGTAATACTTGATTGAGTTGGACGAAATCCAGGCTAACATTACAATTGAGAATGAAGAAGAAGGAAACAGCAGAGAAACTAAATATTTTCTTAAAAGTCTTGTTATAAGCTAATTATTTAAGGTCAGCTCTGATACATGTTAAATATACTTCTATAAAAATTTCTGAAACATTTGTTTTTACAATATTAACACATAATTGCTGGATTAACACACAATTGCTGGATTAATTAACACGCAATTGCTGGATTAATTAACACACAATTGCTGGATTAATTAACACACAATTGCTGGATTAATTAACACACAATTGCTGGATTAATTAACACACAATTGCTGGATTAATTAACACACAATTGCTGGATTAATTAACACACAATTGCTGGATTAATTACCAAAGAATTGAAGCGATGAGGACTGTAGTCAAGATTAGCAAAACATTGGCCCAGAGAGCAGGTACCGAGTCACAGCTGTTGTCGGACCTGTCATACGTCATAGCAAATGCGCGGACTTGAGCGCCGGTTCCTCCCACGTACTTAACCGGCGTGGCGTGGAACCGGAAACCTCTTGCCGGCAGCTGCTCCGTGCCCTTCAGGTTCTCCACGATGAGTTTGTTGTTTGGGAGAAAGTTCTGGTGAATCGGCATGCCGTCTGCTAGTTGACCGTTGACGCTGAAGGCATCAGGGTTGAGGGAATCTACGCCGATGATCTGAATGTTCCGTTGTGTGTGGAGGAACAGGCCTGCCTCTCTGCTCACAGACGGGAAGACGAATTTCCTGTCAAGTAATAACAAAACATTCTCTGTTGACATGTAACATTTGTCCATATATTATTATTTGTTGGCTTGTAAGCCGTGAGTTATCGTGATATGAACAATGTTTATTCAAGTAATAGAATTTATATAGAAAATATATACATTTACCAGAGACCTCCCCCCCCCCCCCCCCCCGGAAATTTTAGTCCGTTCCCCCAAAAATCTCATGTGCCCCACTCCCCCCCCCCCCTCCGAAGTAAAAAGTCTGTAAGAAAAACTGGATATGAATATATAAATATAAATTTGTTTTGTTTTAGCTGCCAAACTGAGTGAGGCATTGCAGATGAAACCAGACATAATACTGCCTTATAGAAAAGGTTCCAAAAACTATGGAGAATAAGGAGACTCAGAACACAATTATGTTTATACTGTACGGTGGCAGAGGAAATGACTGATAGGCCGAAACGCAAATTTCTGTAATGTAAGTCTTTCTCTCCACCAGACTTATCTTACATTATTTCTAAGTTTTGGCACCAAACAGGTTGATATTGACGTCAATTACTCATTTCGTTCGTAAGTCGGACCGTTCGTAAGTCGGAGCCCCACTGTAACTCGCATACATAAACATCAACTCACGTGACATCCTCTGTCTCCGTGCCGAGGTACTGAGTCCTGTTCGTGTAATATTTGGACCAGCCGAAATTGAAGATGACAGCTGATTTTTGGGGGATTTCGCCGTGGGCTTGCTCCCAGTCCAGGATCTAACAAAACATGTATTTCTTTAAAACATATATCTTAACAAGGATAAAAATACTGATAAAATGTTTAAAAAGTTAAGTAAAACGTATTGAGTTTTGTCTGTAAGGTGTATCGACGAGTCCTTACCTTCTGGAGTGGCACCTGATATCCAGGTGTCTGACCTGCTTCTGTAGAGACGTCTATCATACAACCGTCAGCTATGGTCAGCTCTATTGGAACCTTCTCCAGTCTCATACCTCCTGCAAGACCAACAGCAACAGATTAGGGCATTCTTCTACAACTTTTCTATAACTTTTCAAAAGTGTTTCTTCCAGACTTTTTTCTCCAGGAGTGGGGGGGTGGGGGGAATTGATTTTTTTTTGGGGGGGGGGGGGCGGTCACTGGTAAAAGCATATGTTTTCTATTCAAATTCCATTTCGGGGGGGGGGGGGGGGGGAGGGGGGGGGATGGCGGCAGACTTATGCCTGGAAGAAACTCTGCTTTTCAATAACTATAACTTCTCCGTATCTGTTTTAAAAATTCTTTACAACTATTCTATAATTATACAACTATTCTATAATTATACAACTATTCTATAATTATACAACTATTCTATAATTATTCAACTATTCTATAATTATACAACTATTCTATAATTATACATTATATAATTATACATTTTCTACACCTTTTCTATATCCTTTCAACTTCTCTAGGACTTTTCTAAAACTTTTGTAATTGTCTAAATCTGCCATCACAACTAATCAGTGTCTCTTCATCTCTTGGTTATTGATATTTTTTTTACCCAGACCTACAGATTTAAACTTTTCATATAAACATCCTTTTCTTACTTAACAAAATAAGAGATCCGATTGGCCCAACAATTGAATGTGGGAAATAACACGCCTTTTTATTTACTCTTAAAGTCTGTTTTTCTAGAAAATCAATTGGGTATAGTGATAGAAACTTTCACCTGTATAGTACCGTGTTTTGTTTAGTTTATGTTGGCGTTGAACTATAACCATATTGACTCAACCACAATAAGCACCCACAACCAGTAGCGTAGCGAGGGGGGGGGGACATATGTCCCCGGGCGCCGACCTTAGGGGGCGCCAAAATGGGTTGGAAAAATAAATTGAAAGGTTGAGGGGGGTGCAAATCGAAATCTCGAGAGGGGGGGTGCAAATCGAAAGTTTGAGGGGGGGGGTGCAAATGGAAATCTCGAGGGGGGGGGGGTGCAAATCGAAAGTTTGAGGGGGGGGCTGCAAATCGAAATCTTGAGGGAGGGGTGCAAATCGAAAAGTTTGTCCCCGGGCGCCGGGAAGGGTCGCTACGCCTCTGCCCACAAATGTCCCGTATTGCTCCAGATTTGTGGAGAGGAAGATATCACAAAAAGGTGGAAGCTGTGGAACTTACCTTTAGTGAAATGTGCAGGGGCGTCGATGTGGGTCCCCCCATGCTCCCCAGTGAAATACGCCCCTGTCTCAGCACTGCAGGAAGAAAAGTAACAGAACTAGTTAATTACAACAATCACTTAAAATTTCAGTCAGTTGTTTTAAATCTGTTTGAAAACAGTTGTCTCGTGTTACTTAGTAAAACAGTTCATGGGCAGGTGAAGAGGAGTTCACCTGTTTCAATGACTTCCGCATTCGTAAGGATACACGTGGGGGATCTTGTCCAACAAATTGGCAAAAAATGCGCTAATTTCTCAAGAACATACAACACGCGATTTTCGCGAACAAGATATGAGACTCATAAAACTTAAGTCCTAATTCTAAATGGTGTCACTGTGTGTAACTGGTGGGCGGGAGGGGACCGAAAATGTTATATAATATGAGGGGTGGTAGTCTATGGAATTGTTATACCACGCTAACTGGGGTGGGTTAAAATGTTCAATTTGTGAGCTATGCATTCGGCAACACGCGAAGCAGCACTTATAGGTGAGCGGTGAAATATTAATAGATCGCGGTTATAAGTCGAAATTATAATTAGATGATGGGCAGAATAAAGGTGTAAAAATAAGGAATACTAGATCGTGGGCAGAATATGGATGGAAGAATAAGGAATACTAGATCGTGGGCAGAATCTGAAAGTAAGATAAAATACTTACTAGACGGTGGGCAAGATGTCGCCCAAGAAAACCACTGTCCAGTTGTATCTAGGCTGACCAGGCGCCATGATGGTGTCAGGACCGTGGTCGTGTGAGAGGTCAATCAGCCTAGCCCCCAGACCAGGCAGCAAAAGAAAAGACAGCAGAACCCGCATATTTTGAGTGGCCATCTTGTTTTACAAAGAAATTTCCCAATAGCTCTACAACGATGGCGATGTTTTCAGTAAGAGGTTAATATTTTCTTGACCACAAATTAACTTCCAGCTTTAGCCTATCGCCAAGAAAAGATTTAAAGATTTTTTTCAAACGCTGCTCTGACAAGCGATTTAAAGGTTTTGTCCCTGAGCAGATTTTTAGCTCAGTTGAAATATCTAATTTTGCTTTCAAGTTTTATATATTTCCTAGATGTGGACCACAGATTTAGACCCACACCACAACGTACCCTACCCACCGAGACCCTGCCCGGTAGTATTTACAAACATTGTCATAAAGCAGACCAAAGTAGGGTACTGTACAGGTTCGATTCAAGTCAGCGTTTCTTTCTGTAATTTTGCTCGTGTTGCGGGTGTGTGTGTGGGGGGGGGGGGGGGGGGGGGAGGGGGAGTGTGAGGGAAGGGGGCGAAACAGAACTTTCTGAGGGTGAACAGCTTTTACATTTCCGTGTGGGGGGTGGGGGGGAGGGGTGTGTGGAGACACTGGTTACGGTATGTATTTTTAAAATAAATAAAATAGTTTTCTGTTTCGCCCAGTGGGTCGGGATGGAGTGGGGGGTTGCGGTAGAGGGTGGCTCTCCTGGGAGCAGCTCACCAACGGAAAGATGCCAGAAATTGTTGAAGCAGAAACTATGATTTTATAAAGGAATCTATTCCATGTTATCAACTCTTTTATAAAAAGAAAGTTAAAAATCCTTTCTAGATCTAGACCTAAAACTGTAAACAACTGTATCAGGCAGAAGAAGGGGGGATGGAGGGGAATAGTCTAGATTTTTTTCTATAACGTGAGGGGATTCAACCTATGTGCCACATGACCCACGCCTCTGACTGGGGGAGTCAACCTGTGTGCCACATGAACCACGCCTCTGACTGGGGGAGTCAACCTGTGTGCCACATGAACCACGCCTCTGACTGGGGTAAGTAAACCTATGTGCCACATGACCCACGCCTCTGACTGGCAGAGTCAACCTGTGTGCCACATGAACCACGCCTCTGACAGGGAGAGTCAACCTGTGTGCCACATGAACCACGCCTCTGACAGGGAAATTATCCCCATAATGCACCTCTCCACCTCCCCAAAAATCTGCACCGTCATGATTTCGTGCCGTCTCAGCGAACTCCGCGTGCCGCTTATTTCAACTTTGCGTGAAGCGGGTATAATCCTAGCGTAATTCCCTGATTTATAGCAGTATATATTTTTCCAAGGGAAACATAGCCTACTTATACAGCAGGATGGCAACGTGTAGAACACTTCCAGTCAATATATTAAACACCACAAAAATGTCAGTTTTAACTGATGTGTACAAAGTCAGCAAAAGTTAAAGTACCTTTTGTCAGGTATGTTGTTTACATTATAACTTGTATAAATTGATTGTTTTAAACAAAATTTCCAAAAACTAAAGTCTATTTTTTTTCTACAAAATATTTTATTTTTGGTATAAGAATAAGAATAAATAAACGACATAATACATAAAATTAATACTATTTTTGAGTTTTTAAATTTTATCAAGATTATGTGTAATTACAGCAGTAATTTATTAATTCGATGTTTCGCAAGAAAGGATTTATTTTCGTTTTTAACAAGGTATTTATAAAAAAAAAAAAAATGCAAGAAATCCTTTTAAAAGTTTATAAAATTATTATCTGCAAACGCTGGTCAAATGTAAAGAAAAATGTACAGTTAGATAATGAATACATTACGAATAGAATGGAATGAACAACAAAAATAAGGTGAAAACATTGTGAAGTAAGAACACGCTTTAAAATTGAGACAATAATAGGGCAATATAAGTTAATGATAGGTTTGTCATTAGAGCACGTCCTGTTTGTCATTAGGACCTATATATATATATATATATATATATATATATATATATATATATATATATATATACTGAACAGTATACACTTAACTAGTGTTTCTAGAACAACATCAGTGTTTTTAATGTATTAACTGTTTCTCTATGCCAGCATTGCAACATAATTGTAATAACAGAAATACTTTGTATATAAATGTCGAAGTAGAAAAAAAAATAGAAAATTAATTACACTTATTTCAAAGTAATCTTAAAACTATTTACATACAAAATACCACTACTAAATGCATTTGTTTAAGTTTTTAAAAATCCCTAAATTAGTCTCATAGTCTTTTTCAGAAAAAAAATTACTTTAATTATACATAAAATTTACATTAGTTTACAAAAATATGTTTAAACACAACAACAATATAGAAATAAAATTACATATGCAACTGTAAATATAAAAAAATGTATGGATGAACTTAATGTCAAAAAGTAAAGTAATTTAATTTATCTTATAATCCCCAAAAATCTTTTTAAAAAAACTTAAGGGAGGTAAATTGTAAATTTCTTTTTGATGTTTACTCGGTTGTCTCTCTTTTCGTGTATTCTAATTATGTGAGATTTAATTAGACAATGCAATTCTGATCTTTAAAAAACGATTACAAAATTTCAGGCAAAATTATATTTTTCATAATAAGTAAAAAAAAAAGAGAATTTGGACAGTTGAATATCATAATAATGGAATGTAGATGGGGATGTTTTATAAAATTTGGCAACAAATAATCATAAAATATGAACATGAATTAGTCAACAGTAACGTGCATCAGATCATTATAATTACTGTGTAAGGGTAATGCTTTCTATAATCTATTCATTCATTACATTACTTAACATTATATTACATTGAATACTTGATGTAATTAAATAAGTACGAACAGGCAGTTTGAATACCACTTCTACATTTAACATAACTCTTTATCTAGAAGTCTTGATCCAACCACACAAAAACTAAAACCATCAATCAACAGCTAGCTATTAAAAGAAGAAAACTGTCATTTTATCAACAATAACATATCATTTCATCATATCATCAACAGTAACACGTCATTTTATTAACAATAACACATCATTTCATCAACAATAACACATCATTTCATCAACAATAACACGTCATTTCATCAACAGTAACACGTCATTTTATCAACAGTAACACACGTCATTTTATCAACAATAACACATCATTTCATCAACAGTAACACGTCATTTTATCAACAATAACACATCATTTCATCAACAGTAACACGTCATTTTATCAACAATAACACGTCATTTTATCAACAATAACACGTCATTTTATCAATAATAACACATCATTTCATCATTTCATCAACAGTAACACGTCATTTTATCAACAATAACACGTCATTTTATCAACAATAATACGTTATTTTATTAGCAGTAACACACGTCATTGCATCAACCGTAAACCCCTCTTGTTTCATTTAAAGGCACCGGGATAGTGTAAAAGAAGTTTACTAATCAACACAGCTAGACATAAGGGTAAAAGCCTGGCATGTTTGTACATTTCAGGTAGCTGTCACCTTAACACAGGTAACTAAATGTACATAGAAAACCACCCATGGCACAGGTAAGAAAATGTTCATTAACGACCCCCCCCCCCCGGGCACAAAGGTAACTAAATGTTTATAAACACCCCCCCCCCGTTACAAAAGTAATAAAATATTCACGTAACCACCCCGGTGGTGCCCCTCCCCCCCTACGGCAGCTCTATCTCCACAAAATCTGGCTTGCTGTCCACCCCACTGTCGTCTGTCACCCCCACACTGTCGTCCGTCACCCCCACACTGGGCGGGGTCCCGTTGTCCAGCTTGTGATTGTTGTTGCTGCCTGCCGATTCCGGCCGATTGTTGAACGTCTTGAGCTCGTCCCCCTCAAAGCCCTCGCTGGTCCTTGAGTAGACGTTACTGTTGCGGCTGTTCTTTTCCGAACGCTCCACTATGTCGTAGGAGCTTTGGGGCCGGAAGTAGTTCTTCGTCTTTCTTGACTGGAATATGGAAAACGGCTAGTTAGTGAGATTTAACAGATAACTCAGGTTCCATAACGTTAGGAGACGAACGGCTAATCAGCCAAATACACGAAATCACGAAACAAAATATTAATTCCTTACTCTTACAGTTTCTAACGACCTACGAAACAAAATATTAATTCCTTACTCTTACAGTTTCTAACGACCTACGAAACAAAATATAAATTCCTTACTCTTACAGTTTCTAACGACCTACGAAACAAAATATAAATTCCTTACTCTTACAGTTTCTAACGACCTACGAAACAAAATATAAATTCCTTACTCTTACAGTTTCTAACGACCTACGAAACAAAATATAAATTCCTTACTCTTACAGTTTCTAACGACCTACGAAACAAAATATAAATTCCTTACTCTTACAGTTTCTAACGACCTACGAAACAAAATATAAATTCCTTACTCTTACAGTTTCTAACGACCTACGAAACAAAATATAAATTCCTTACTCTTACAGTTTCTAACGACCTACGAAACAAAATATAAATTCCTTACTCTTACAGTTTCTAACGACCTACGAAACAAAATATAAATTCCTTACTCTTACAGTTTCTAACGACCTACGAAACAAAATATAAATTCCTTACTCTTACAGTTTCTAACGACCCACGAAACAAAATATAAATTCCTTACTCTTACAGTTTCTAACGACCTACGAAACAAAATATAAATTCCTTACTCTTACAGTTTCTAACGACCTACGAAACAAAATATAAATTCCTTACTCTTACAGTTTCTAACGACCTACGAAACAAAATATAAATTCCTTACTCTTACAGTTTCTAACGACCCACGAAACAAAATATAAATTCCTTACTCTTACAGTTTCTAACGACCTACGAAACAAAATATAAATTCCTTACAGTATCTTTCCCAAAGTTGTCTACATCAACAGGCTGAGGGTCTTCACGTCTGCAAAACCTGAAAAAGATTTTGTTTTAACTGCTGGGAGCTTACATAATTATTCACTTATACTTTGGTTTTCTTCACTAATACCAGACTAGAGTCACTCTATACGTTTCACCAGTTTTAATTAATTGTAGATTTATTAACATCTTGTTGACACCCTCGCCCAACTCCACAGAATGTTTATGTTGGAAAATATTTCTTTTAAAGTTGCATCGTGAATATAAAGTAATCTAAAGCTAAACGTAAAATTAATTACGTTAATTATGATTGAAATGATTCCCAGCGGGGTGGGGAAAAGTAGGTGTCACAATGTCCGCCCTTAATTTACCCTTGCTATCAAACATGTAGGAACAGAGTCATTGAAGACAGGAGTCATAGTTTGAACCCTGTTGACCTTATGACTGGCGAGAGAACGGGAGTCATTATTTGAACCCCTGTCTTCTTGACTCTCGATAGGAAGAAGTCATGGTTTGAACCCCTGCTGACCTTATGGCTCGCTAGAGTACAGAGTCATGATTTGAACTCCCTGTTGTCCCCATAACGTAAGCCCCTTGAGATATTATGTCGCAGGAGAAGTTACCCACGGTCATCGCGTTATACCGCCCTAATGACAACAAACACTAGCCCGTACATTATCACTTCATTAGCCACTGTCTGATTAACTGGCTGCTAATTGCTGGTACACTCCCATGATTATTAGCAGTGACTCTATCAAGGGCAATAAGCCTTGCCTAAAGTAAACGGTTCTAGGTCTGAGTTGTCGCCCGTAGTTGACATCACGCATCCAGTAGCGGGGCTCGGCTCGCTGGTGCCAAAGCCCGCAGTAAAGGGGAGGGGGGGGGGGGGGAGGCCGGTTGATTAGAGGGCCCCAAAATGGCCTGTACGTATCATCATTAAAGAATGAAGTTTACCATATGTTTTTTTTAACATACTATTGTCTTAAGTTTTATACATTTAATACTGTTATATTGTCCAGTTATTAGTAAAAATAATTTAAAAAAAACACACAAAAATCCTTCTGAGTTATTTATGTAAAAAACATCTTCAGCGCATGTCACTACATGGTATAAGCACCACGGCTGATAATACTACGGCTGAGAATAGTATACTTTATTCAATCATACAGATAGTTCTTGCTAGCTTTTTAAAAATATAACATTAGTTGAGAAACTAGAAGAAAAGATTTCAGAAATAAATGAGTGAGTTAAAACAAATGTGACACGTAATACAGCTCTTGACAACCAACACACTACATAAAACATTGCAACAAAATGATAACCTACCAGCCCCAACTGCGTGTAGATATACAGTCGTTTCTGACTCGTGGCACTTACTTAAAGAGCAGGGACAAAACCACCTAACCACTTACTTAAAGAGCAGGGACAAAACCACCTAACCACTTACTTAAAGAGCAGGGACAAAACCACCTAACCACTTACTTAAAGAGCAGGTGCAAAACCCCCTAACCACTTACTTAAAGAGCAGGTGCAAAAACCACCTAACCACTTACTTAAAGAGCAGGGACAAAACCACCTAACCACTTACTTAAAGAGCAGGGACAAAACCACCTAACCACTTACTTAAAGAGCAGGTGCAAAACCCCCTAACCACTTACTTAAAGAGCAGGTGCAAAAACCACCTAACCACTTACTTAAAGAGCAGGGACAAAACCACCTAACCACTTAAAGAGCAGGTACAAAACCACCTAACCACTTACTTAAAGAGCAGGTACAAAACCACCTAACCACTTACTTAAAGAGCAGGTACAAAACCACCTAACCACTTACTTAAAGAGCAGGGACAAAACCACCTAACCACTTACTTAAAGAGCTGGGACAAAACCACCTAACCACTTACTTAAAGAGCAGGTACAAAACCACCTAATCACTTACTTAAAGAGCAGGGACAAAACCACCTAACCACTTACTTAAAGAGCAGGGAAAAAACCACCTAACCACTTACTTAAAGAGCAGGGACAAAACCACCTAACCACTTAAAGAGCAGGTACAAAACCACCTAACCACATACTTAAAGAGCAGGGACAAAACCACCTAACCACTTACTTAAAGAGCAGGGACAAAACCACCTAACCACTTAAAGAGCAGGTACAAAACCACCTAACCACATACTTAAAGAGCACGGAAAAAACCACCTAACCACTTACTTAAAGAGCAGGGACAAAACCACCTAACCACTTACTTAACGAGCAGGTACAAAACCACCTAACCACTTACTTAAAGAGCAGGTACAAAACCACCTAACCACTTACTTAAAGAGCAGGGACAAAACCACCTAACCACTTACTTAACGAGCAGGTACAAAACCACCTAACCACTTACTTAAAGAGCAGGTACGAGACCAGAACGAGCACGAAAAGTCCCAGAACAGCTGCGATGACTCCCAGTGCTATGGTCAAAGATTTCACCTCGCCCTCAAGGTCTGGGGATTTTTTAAAAAAAAACTGATTTTATTAGGGTGTTTTTTTTTAGACTCTTACAGATATCTTTTTGTTTAGACCAGGGGTCTCCAAACTTTTCAGTCCGAGGGCCGCATTAACAATCAAATTTCAGTTTGGGGGCCAGTTTCTTCCAGGCATGTCTTTGATTTTTCTGGGCAAAGTTCCTCTGCCATCACCAACAAACGCGATTTTCCGTGGACAAAAAGATCTCCGCGGGCCGGATGATAGGACCTGGCGGGCCGCATCTGGCCCGCGGGCCGTAGTTTGGAGACCCCTGGTTTAGACACATATACATAGATCATGTATTCTTATTTTGTTGAGACTCTTAAAGAAACATGTTTTGTTTAGAAGTTTTCTAGTCTGTGGAAAGTACAGTATTCAATGCAGGCAACTAAATTACATTTACAATAATAACACCAGGGATGAAATCAATACATACCACTAATTTAAAATAATTATTAAATTGTATTTGTTTTGCTTTTGGAGACTTAGAGCAACTTACGTAAATAATTTTTTTATAAGGCTGAGAACATGTAAAGTGAATCATTCTGTATTTTCACGGGTTAAAATCAATTAATTAAATTAATGAGTTAAGTGGTTAAATAAAAAGTACGATACCGTTGATTTTATTCCTTAAGGCATACATGGACTCATAAGATGCTGAGGGGGGTGGTGAGCTTGAGGCCTAGGGTAGGGGAAATTACATCGTTTTTATATGAGAGAAGTACAGAGAACAGTACATGAGAACATTACAGAGAACAGCACATGAGAACAGCACATGAGAACAGCACATGAGAACATTACAGAGAACAGCACATGAGAACAGCACATGAGAACAGCACATGAGAACATTACAGAGAACAGCACATGAGAACATTACAGAGAACAGCACATGAGAACAGCACATGAGAACAGCACATGAGAACAGAACATGAGAACAGAACATGAGAACAGCACATGAGAACAGAACATGAGAACAGAACATGAGAACAGTACAAAGAACATTACAGAGAACAGCACATGAGAACATTACAGAGAACAGAACATGAGAACAGCACATGAGAACAGAACATGAGAACAGAACATGAGAACAGTACAGAGAACATTACAGAGAACAGCACATGAGAACATTACAGAGAACAACACATGAGAACAGAAAATGAGAACAGTACATGAGAACAGTACAGAGAACAGTCATTACGCGAAAAAAAATTGCATTCTTTAGACACGTACAAAAAATAAAAGATCTAAATGTAGCTTATTAAAAAAATTAGTACTTAAATTTCATTTTGTTTATATAACGGAAGGAAATATAATCTGGTAATTTCGATAGAATCTTCATTAATTTTTTCTTATAGTAATAACTAAAACGAAATTAATTAGTGAAATAGTTCTAACAAAATCTAAACCTTGGATCACGTCAATGTTTTTACCTCAGAGGTCGTTTTGAGAAGTGGGGACGTTGGGGCGTCGGTTTCTGGCGTGTAGAGATGTGTGCTGACGTCGAGTGTGCTCTGAGGTGTGCTGCGTTCTGGTGGTGTGGTGTCTGAGGGTGTGGGAGTTGTGTTGGCTACCGATTTTGTTATGTCTGAGGTTGTGGGAGGTGTGTTGACTTCCGATGTTGTAATGTCTGAGGTTGTGGGAGGTGTGTTGACTTCCGATGTTGTAATGTCTGAGGTTGACTGACTACTGTTGGCTACCGGTGTTGTAATGCCTGAGGTTGACTGACTACTGTTGGCTACCGGTGTTGTATTGTTTGTTATTGTATTGGAAGTAGAAATTGAAGTATCCGATACATTTGAAAATAATGTTGTCACTGATCCTGGGTTTGTTAGTTTAGATGTTGGTGTTGATTCTGCTGTTGATGTTGAAGATACTGACGTTGATTCTGTTGGTGCTGCTGTTGATGTTACAGGTGCTGTAGTTGGTGCTGCTGTTGTTACAGGTACTGTTGCTGATTCTGTTGGTGGTGGTGTAGAAGTTGTTGTTGGTGCTGCTGTTGATGTTGATGTTGCAGGTACTGTCGTTGGTGCTGCTGTTGATGTTGGTGATTCCGTCGTTGGTGGTGTAGATGTTGATGATTCTGTTGGCATTGTTGTAGATGTTGTTGGTGCTGCTGTTGATGCTACAGGTACTGTTGTTGATTCTGTTGTTGGTGGTGTAGATGTTGTTGTTGGTGCTGCTGTTGATGTTGCAGGTACTGTCGTTGCTTCTGTTTTTAGTGTTGTTGGTGTTGTAGATGCTGTTGATGTTGTTGTTATTTCTGCGGTTGGTGTTGATGTCGGTGTTCCAGATGTTGTTGCAATTGTTGTAACCGTAGATGTCGCTGTTGGGGTTGTGGACGATGTGTCAGTAGTTGGTGATTCTCCTGCTGTAAATCTCACTATCACCAGCAGAATGACCACTGAAACATCTGTGACAAAAATGGCATGTGATAAATAATAATTCTAATGTATTAAACCCAGAAAGTTAAAGACGTGAGAGAAAAGAAGTTCTGAACACACAACCCGGAGATGAAGCTGGCCACAAAATCCCAAAACTTAACTGCTCTCACAATCCCAAAACAAATCTGCCCACTCAATTCCAAAACAAATCTAACCACTCAATCCCAAAACAAATTTGCCCACTCAATCCCAAAACAAATCTAACCACTCAATCCCAAAACAAATCTGCCCACTCAATCCCAAAACAAATCTGCCCACTCAATCCCAAAACAAATCTGCCCACTCAATCCCAAAACAAATCTGCCCACGCAATCCCAAAACAAATCTGATCATACAATGCAAAAACCAAACGGCTCGTACACTATCTCAAAACAAATCTGACCATACAATCCAAAATACTAAACTGCTCACACAATCCCAACAACCAAAAACATGTCACATAAAACCCCAGTCCCGAATAAATAGCCTATTCTACTTCCACCATAAAGTTTGTAGTTTTTCGTTAAAAACCTGCCCACGACCTAGTACAAACACCCATCAGTAACAGTAATGTAACATTATTAACCGTTTACCTGATTATCCAGCAACAATGTTTACCCATAGCAACCGTTCACCAGCTTACCTAGCAACAATGTTTACCTATAGCAACCGTTCACCAACGTACCTAGCAACAATGTTTACCTATAGCAACCGTTCACCAACGTACCTAGCAACAATGTTTACCTATAGCGACCGTTCACCACATTACCTAGCAACAATGTTTACCTATAGCAACTGTTCACCAACTTACCTAGCAACCATTTTTGTTGTCGGTACAATATAGTTAACTGCGTCATTTTGGCAGCCAATACAGTGGATCTGGTTTGGTGCAAGTTATCGGGATGTGAGTGCTACTTCAACAAGTTCAGTTGCACTTCCTCTGTTCCTTTAGTGAGTACTGTAGCACTTCCTCTATCACTTCAGTGAGTACTGTAGCACTTCTGTCACTCGAGTGAGTACTGCTGCTCTCACATCTATAGGAACTAGTACACGTAGTATCTCCTTTAGGGATTGTAAGCACGGATTTTACTCTGGAAACTAATAAACCAAAAAGTTATAACTTTAATTATTTTCTAAAATTTTCAAACAACAACAAAGTGGTAAAAATGGAACTATTCTTTGATTTTATGAGAGCAAAGCATTGTCAAACAATATGGTAGGATCCTTAAATTTAGGGCACACATTTTATGTTGAAGGGCATTCGCAAATAGATTAGGGTCCTTAGGGCGCCCTCCTATAGTTTTTATAGTGTGTTCGGCCCTAATACGGTATGATCATTACCTTTTGAGCCCACCAATACGATGGTAAATTAAACTTTGAAATTGACTGACCTAATAGTAGAAAATTTTATTGATCTGGAATAATGACCATTAACTTAAAGGTTACCGCCTAGCAAGTTCATCAATGTACGGTCATGTATTTTCCTTTACAATGGAAATTAAACCACGTTTCCGGTTTTAAAGAATCAATTTGTAAAGTTTTCTCTGATGTACCGCAGGGGCCGTAACTACGGGGACACAAACATCCATTGTGCTGAGGAATTTTAAATTATTCCACTTTAATGTCCTGCTTTAACGTGCCCCACATTTCTAGAACCCCAAATCCATTACACCCCCCCCCTCCCCCGAGTCCTATCCCAGTGACAGTTTGAACCCTCTACACCACTGTTTTTCCCCATCATACAAGTGAAAAGAAGGAATGTGTGGCTGGGGATAGATTGGGCGAAAGGAGACCACACCTTCATAAGGGGAGAATGGAAGCGAGAGATTTAATTGGTAGATGAAGTTGCACTGATTAATTATACATCCAGTAATACAATACTGCGATGGAAATAATAAAACATTCAATTTGGGTAAAGGAAATTGTGCGTAGAGTTGGAAAAGAGTTGTTGAGTCTGATGCATGCACTTTTGTTAGACTTAAACTCACGGACATCCGCACAGTCTGTGGTTTGTGAGTGTGTGTTGGTATTTCGGAGTGGGTGTTTTAATATGGGTAGACGAAATTTAAAAACTTCTCGGTACCCAGGTTAGAAATTTGTTTGGTTAATCACCTGGCAATATAGGACCGTGTTATCTAATCATAACTGTTTACAATTCCCTTCCTCCAACCCCACCCCCGTACAGGAACAATCACTTGATAAGTTACATTTACTTCCCTTTATTGAGTTCAAGCTTCCCCTACAGAGATACCAACTCGACAATTAGCCAGGGGTGGGGGTGGGGGGGGGGGGGTTGAGGGGTAAGGAGCGGGCAGGTAAGTGTGCTGTGGGGTCTCTTTCCAGGTAGGTGGGTGGTGGGATATATTGGGTTTTGGGGGCTGGTAGGTAATTGGTGGGGTGTGGGAGCTGGTAGATGACTGGTGGGGTGTGGGGGTTGGTAGATGGATGGTGGGATGGGGAGCAGGTAGATGGCTGGCGGGGTGTGGGGGTTGGTAGATGACTGGTGGGGTGTGGGGGTTGGTAGATAGATGGTGGGGAGTGGGGGTAAGTAGATGACTGGTGGGGTGTGGGGGTTGGTAGATGGATGGTGGGATGGGGAGCAGGTAGATGGCTGGCGGGGTGATGGGGATGGTAGATGTGCGTGTGGGGTTAGTGGGCAGGCACACGAGTTGTGGGGTTGGGCATTATAAAAGACGGGACAAAAGGCTTTGTGTCAGTTATTGATGTCTAGACAAGGCATTACGTGAACAATCATTGGACGCTTTATTAAAATAACAGGGGGAAAACCTGTGAAGAGATAAGCAGGCCAGCTAATTATGTGATAATCGAAAGAAAACATGGATATGGAAAATGTGCTGCAATAGTTCGTGAGAGAGATGAGGAGAAGAATGCTCCATAAGCTTAAGAGTGAAAAAAATTTAATGAGATAAATATCTAGAGGCTAAAAAACGAATGTCAAAACTATTTTACTTTTTTTCACTAGTGTTACCCATACAATGCTGCTTTACACTTTTATGTCAAGTTTATATCAGGGTTATATCAAGGTTATATCAGGATTATATCAAGGTTCAGAGGCGTAGCGAGGGGGGGGCGGGGGGTGACACCATTTAGGGGGGTGACACCAAGGCAAAAAAGAGCAAAATATATAGAGAAAAACTTGAGGGGGATGGGGTGCAAATCACAATTTTGAGGGGGGGGGGGGTGCAAATAAAAAATTTGAAAGTTTGTCCCCGGGAAGGGTCGCTACGCCTCTGGGGGGTGACACCATTAAGTGCCGCACCGGGTGACACCCGACCTCGCTACGCCACTGTCAAGGTTATATCATGGGTCATATCAAGGTTATATCAGGGTTATTTCAAGGTTATATCAGGGTTATATCAAGGGTTATATCAAGGTTATATTAAGGGGTATATCAAGGGTTATATCAAGGTTATATCAAGGTTATATCAGGGTTATATAAGTGTTATATCAAGGGTTATATCAAGGTTATTTTCAGGGTGATAGTAAGGTTATGTCAGGGTGGGTTATATCATAGGTTATATCAAGGGTTATGTCATGGTTATATCAATGCAATATCAGGGTTATATCAAGAGTTATATCCAGGTTACATCAGGGTTCAGTTTCACAATGCTTAAGCGGTTGTCCATGAAAGACTTATCACTATAAACTTCTTAAATTTAAACCTGTCTCTCAAGTTTCAATTATAGTCTTCATGTTATTGTTATAAGTTATAACGTGACTTGTCTGAATACATATCTCACGTGTACAGCTTGTATAAGAAATTTAGATTAAAGTTTATATTAAAGTCAAGAAGTCATGAAACATACACACACAAATATATATTATATTTCAAAGGATAGACAACGAAACAATGCTACAAAAGTCAGGTTATCAGATCATAATGTTTGAAACGTTTTTTAAACAACTGACAGAAGAGATGAATTATATTACCAATAAAGATGAAAACAGACAGAAAATATAAAAAATACGACCAATAAACGACCAATAGTAGATCAAAACGTGAATTTTTACTTTTAAAATAATGGACTATGAGATCAATAATATTACCAACAGTAAATCAAAACATAAACTTACTAATAAATTAAGAAACAGAATTGATGACCAACGTAAGCACATGTATCCAACCCTGTTGACGGCGATATATCGTCTGCCAGCTATGGCAGAAGTAAGTACACAAGCAGACGAGCAGGAACCAGCATTCGTCACGGTCGAGTTATTCCGTTTACCAACAGCCCTGATCCTGCATGCTTAACGGCTAAATGTAAAAGGGGGTGGGGGGATTAAAATTTTATAACGGAAGTATAAAGCCAAATCTACCGCTACTTATTTTTCGTAAACTTTTTCAAAAACTATTTTCATATTTACTTCTTAACTCCCCCCACCCCACCTCTCTCTGTTTATGTTTGTGTTCTAACTATATTTCTGTCACTTCGGGTTTTCCTGGTCCCTCATAGACTACATTAGTCATTAGACATAACGAGGAAGTCAATTAGCTAATTAGGGAGAGCTTAAATTTGTAAGGTGTTTAAGATTCGAATTACGAAAGAAAATGTGAACTTTGATATAAAAGAGGGTTGGGACGTTAAAACTAGGCCAATGTCAAGTGACCTAACCCGTGTTGAACTACGACAGAGTTCATACATTTAGAAAACACGGTTCACTTGCCATTAATCGCTACACCTTCCCTATCTCGCTGTGAATGGGTTCATTTACTGGTATACAGTGCTGAGGGAGGATACTTATGAGGGGTGGGGACAGTGAGTTGATCAGGGGCGTAACTACATCATGACAGACAGATATATTCTTCTGCTCCTGCATATCTTGTAGATACGCCCCAGAGATTGATGTTTTCTGAGCTGTGTGACGTCATAGGTAATGGAATGTTTTAGTGGAAAGTGAGATAGAAAATTTGTATAGCAAAACATGCACGTTACGGCTTGACAGGATTCGATCAGACAAGATCAATGATAAGTAGATCGATTAACAGGAACTGAATTGGACCAGCTATGTATAGGGTGGGGGCCAGCTATGTATAGGGTGGGGACCAACTACATGCTGTGGGTGGGGGGGGGGCAACATTAGGTGGAGATTAACGCTACACTCTTTTGTTGGTGATCTAGGCGGTGTTAGCCCCCCAGAGGCGTAGCGAGGGGGGCGGGGCGGGGGGGGGGACATATGTCCCCGGGCGCCGACCTTAGGGGGGGGGTGCAAATCGAAAGTTTGAGGGGGGGGTGCAAATGAAAAGTTCGAGGGGGGGGGGGGTGCAAATCGAAAATTTGCTCCCGAGGGGGGCGCCAAATTGAACGTATGTCCCCGGGCGCCGGGAAGGGTCGCTACGCCTCTGTAGCCCCCCCCCCCCAAGGTTAGATGGAGCATGGGACCCCAGAGCCACAATAGAACATGTTGACAAAAATCGAAAGTTTTTAAGGTAAAATCAATAGCAGATAGCCGACAATTGTATTGGCTGGTGATTTAACAACAGCTGGAATACTGATACCGTTGTTGAAAAGATCAGTGATAAATCGGCCGGAGTTTTAAAAACAACACAATGTTAGGCAAATACGTCAGACAACTATCACAGTCAGTGGCGTAGCCAGGATCGTCTCAAGGGGGTTTCTAATTTTTACCCGGGGACAAACTTTCGATTTGCACCCCCTCATACTTATATATATATATATATATATATATATATATATATATATATATATACATATATATATATATATATATATATATATATATATATATATACATAGGGGTGTCTAGGCATTCAGCGGGTAGACATAGGGGTGTCTAGGCATTCAGCGGGTAGACACACACACACACATATATATATATATATATATATATATATATATATATATATATATATATATATATATATATATACATATATATATATATACCGAGGGTTCTATGGGGGGTTTATGACCCCCCCCCCCCTAACCCCCCTGCCTATGCCACTGATCTCAGTCAAGCGTCAGTTAAGTACGTCAGTCAAACAAGTCAGTCAAACAAAGTCAGTCAAACACGTCAGTCAAGCAAGTTCTTGGTATATTTGGGGGGGGGGATGTGGTAAATTATTCAGGTTCACTGCCTTTAAAAATTGTATAACATCGATTCTTAAAATTTGATATTTTAGAGTTTTATTTTCAGCTTTAAAGATACTTATTATTGTTACGACCGCCATGACGTCAAAACTTAAAAAAAACACGTCTTTTAGCCATGTCAACAATGATGATCAGAGGCATACATTCGACCTTGGCGAACGTCATTGTAAATATGATTGGGTTTGAGATTTGTGAAGAAAAGCTACGAGCAAATTCTAAAAATAACGATTACAAAACTAAAGTATTCAACATTGTAATTGTTTTCGTAGAAAATCTACCAGGATATTTAACAGTAGACAACGCAGAGTTTAACTATCGCAGTGGATAATTTATCTAGCTAAACTAGAATTATCTTTCCCTACAATATAAAAATTGCATTTTCTCTCGTCTCTCTTAATTAAATCATAATGTCAGCACGATTTTTACTGAAATAGGAGAATTACAAAAAGGCTGACACTCTTTCCATGCGTTGTAAAATTTTTAAATGCAGTGAACTTGAAAAAGTGCTTTTGCTTAAGGCTACGTGAAGTTTCACCTTAGTAACACAAACTTCAATTGGCTGCATGAAAACACATTGATCTATTTCACGTTAGTAAGACAAACTTCGATTGGCTGCATGAAAACACCGTGATCTATTTCTAAAACATATTTTCTACTCACAATCTTGCCGGTAAATATATTTTTAATAAACTTTTACTTTTGGAGACTACTTGACATAGATCTAGTAAAAAAAATGGTTTAATATATACATTTTGTTTATTTACCAAAAGTAGTAAAACATAATAATGTTCCTTCTATAGTAAAGTCTTAGAAAAACCACACACTAGAGTTTATAGCCACTTATTCTAAAACCACTGTACACGATTTAATAAAAAAAATGGAACGGGCTTTCGAGACAATTCCCAGTGGGGACCATTTCTTCTTCCGGGTTAGGGAATAAAAACAACATTATCAAGTTATCTCATGGACTTCGTGTCATTTGTGCAACACTACATGGTTTGTTAGGCTTAGATTAGATTAGCAGGTAGGCTCAGCGTTTGTCTAGGCATTCAGCGGGTAGACATAGAGGTGTCTAGGAATTCAGCGGGTAGACATAGGGGTGTCTAGGCATTCAGCGGGTAGACATAGTTGTGTCTAGGCATTCAACGGGTAGACATAGGAGTGTCCAGGCATTAAAAATTTAGGCACAGTGCTTGCCTAGGATTAGCAGACCTATGTTGCTGATACAAACGGCATCATCATGTCATCGAATAAACTTTAACCTATATTAAACATGTATGTTGCAGTGTTAAGCTTCACCTTATATTAGCTATATTATGCTGCAGTGTTAAGCTTCACCCTATGTTAACCCTTTATGTTGCCGTATTAAACGACAGGTCTCTGAATGTAAATTAATTAACCTTTTTAAAATCTACGCGTGTCGCACATTCAGTCATTTTTAGCCAAGGTAAAATAAATCAATGTTCAACCTTTAAATTAACGTGGCTAAAAAATGGGTCAGGGAGTCTCAGAATTTTAGAACTGGCGACCCCATGCAAAGGACGTATGTGTAGTAGTAATAGTGTGTAGACTAGGGGTCTCCAAACTACTTTCAGCGGCCGGATGCCCGCGAAGTCCTCTCATCCGGCCCGCGGAGATCTTTTTGTCCAAGGAAAAATAGTTTGTTGGTGATGGCTGAGGAACTTTGCACAAAATCAAAGACATGCCTGGAAGAAACTGGCACCCGAACTGAAATTCGATAGTTAATGCGGCCCTCGGACTGAAAATTTTGCAGGCCCCCGGTGTAGACGATCAATTAAAACATTTAGAGAGTTTTAAAACTAAATATTTTCGCTTCTTACGAAAACACTTGGCGTTTTTCTCTGACCAGGAACATCTTTACACAAGTGTATGACAACTGTTTTTGTATCAACACCGGAAGGTCATTCATTTCATTGGTTGAAATTTAAATATCCTTTCATTCGTTTATTTTTACTTTCTCGTATATACGAGGTATAGAGAAAGTCTTGTAATCGTGCAAAAAAACAAAACAAAAAAATCTCGACGTTTTACAACTCACTGATACGGAAAAACATAATTTTGCAATCTTTTCCGTATGTCTGTGTGTCTGTCTGTGTGTAAACTTGAGTACCGTTACAGCTAGGTTCATGAAATTTCATATATAAGTATTTTATCAAAATCGTAGATCCTGATCAACTTTTGAGCGATTTCCAATAACCGGAAGTGGTACTTTTTGTACTTTGAATTTTTCAAAAGCCTATAACTTGAGTACTGTTTCAGATAGATAAATGAAATTTCACATGTAAGTAAAAGATCTAATTCTCTACCTCCTGTCAAATTATGAGTAATTTCTGTTGACCGAAAGAACTAATTTACGCTATTTCCGATTTCTCAAAAACGCATGTAAATTTATAAAGTACTAATAATATTGCGCACTTTATGCACATTTTGTTTTGGCGTTCGCTTGGTACGCAATTCTTTTTTCTATGAGATTCTATTCTATTTTTAAAAGTTTAAGTAATTAAAAATCAAGTCTATATTCCAAGTTATATAAGAATATTCGAGAAAGTTTAGGGGAGATCACTCCCGGTTTATATTAATACAAGAAAACAAAAAGCATAAATACATTTAAACCTATTAAGTTAAACAATTTGAAAACCTAAACATGTTTTTTATCAAACGAGAATGGCGTTAACAATTAAAATGTAACTGTTAATTAATTATATCGCTTACCATGTCAATAAATTAACAATGACAAGGCATGATTGATGCCATCTCAGGACATCAATCGCTGTCAGTATGCTGGCAGTGAATATGGTGCCAGTGAATATGGTGCCAGTGAATATGGTGCCAGTGAATATGCTGGCAGCAAAAGGTTCGATTTTGAAGTAAATTGTCGACATACAACAACACAGGTAGTTCTAGAACAAATCTTGTGATTACAAACTTGGTTCCGGATGGCTAGACAAGGTGAATGCAGATTATTATAGGAAGAGAAATATCTGATGCCGATGTCCTTAGGCCGCTATGTCGATTCTACAAAATGTGCAGTTTTACTGCAGCCCTTACCCCCCCCCCCCCCCTATCTTCACACACACCAGAATTAACAGAAAAAAATTTTTCGTTTTATTTTGGGATGGGCAGT